GGCCTACCGTGCATAGCCGAACTGTTTGTGGGAAATTGGTATCTCTATTACTGTCGCTGTCAAAATGTATTGTTTCTAGGTTAAATTTAAATTAATTGAACTGTCATAACCTAACCAAACCAAATGATAATGAAAATATCGAATGAAGGTTTACTAATAACAAAAATAATTCTGTTCATAAAATAAAATTATAAATGTCTCAAAATAAATTAATAATTTTTTAATTATAAAATTAAACTATCATAACCTAACCAAACCAACCAAACTTGCTGATAATGAAAAAAATCGAGTCAAAAAGTTAATGCCTCCGTTAGGTTTCGAACCGGCTACCTCCGAATTATCAGCCCGGTGCGCTATCCACTACACCACCGAGATGGCTGAACTACGTATCGTTGCGGTAATGATGTTCGCTCGAGCAGTGGTGGGCGGTGGCGGTCTGTCGGCAAGGGTTTCTACCTGGTGATCTATGGGTTAAACCAGGAGATAGGAATAATAGCTTGATTTTTATTACCATAAAGTGACCCAGTTCGTGCTGCTACCTATTGGAAAAAGCCAAAATTACTAGCACTGTCGCGTGACGAGAGTACCTCGTCAAAGTGCTCTGTAGCATCCAGGCAGCTGGACAAGAACAACTCGTCGAAGTAGGCCATTGGGTTTAGTGGAATAATTGTGGCATCTCAGGATCAAAAAAGCTCTCAAAAATATAAATATGTGTCAAGTGCCATGGAAATTAGTGAATATTGTGAGTGTAAATTTTGGGCCCTGCTCACTCTTTGAACCTTACATTTAGTCGAAGGTGCTCTTTTCTCCTTCCCTCTAAGGGAGAAGCCTCCATTTGATTGTTTTTATAACTTATCTTTACTAAGTGGTTGATTCATGGGTTGTTGTATGTTAGTTTAACTTAAATCTTCTCTATTTTTATTTCAGACCATTACCTGATGGTAGCGACACGACATTGGGACCTGATGCTGAGGGACCCGATAGCGAGGCTAAAGGATCATTTAATTCTTCGATACTAGAAGAGAGAAACGATGAGTTTGTGTAGACTGTTGAAGATTGTATATTTTAAATGTGTTTTAATAAATTGTTTAAATTGTAATGCGATTTTCTTGTTGGACCTCTGACTTTAATTTATCAAATATTTTTTTAATTAACTTTTATTAATACAGACTATTTAATGCAGTGCAGAATTTTAAACCTTCCGTTTTATTTTTATCTTTAAATTTATATTGCACTGAACGTACAGTTCCCTATATATTTAAATCTCGAATGTCGACTCAAATAATATAAACTTAAATATTGTCAGTGTTGAGAAGTTGTGTCAAGGTACTGTTAGTTATTAGTTCTAATAATTAGCAGAATTATTGAATAAAGTAATAATATTTTTTTTCAGTAAATCCCCCAGATTGTTTAAACAGTTTGACATAAAAACCCCCACCGCAGCAAACCTGCCACTAAGCAATTTCTATTTGTCTGAATTAATTTTTTATTAAGGCTATTTTAATGACATTAGGTTTATAATGACTACCTAGGATTGCTGCAATAAGGAAACTAATAAAGTGTATTTTTTGTAAAATATTACTGTAAATAGCTTAGTATGAAATGAATAAATTTGCCAAGTTTGATAAAAATATATTCATAATCACGCAAACTACAACATTTTACAATATTCTCCATAAAAAAAACAGAAAATTTAAATTTAATTTTTTAAAAATTTCTCCGTTACCAATAACCCTTTAAAAACATTTTGATAAGCAAAATTATTTTATATTTTTAAGCTCTTTAAAGAGGTCTAGAAAGAAATTGGGAAATTTTGTGTTTTGAGGGTCAAACATTCGAACACCATTTTTTACCCTATACAATCCCGTTCCCATGGTCCGATCATGCTGATTCCCGAACTTATTCAAGTTTATCCCGCCTTACAACTTTAAACCAAATTTAATCTAAATCGGACACAAATTACTCAAGCTATTGCGTCGCGTTCACGGACGCATTCGTTCACGGAAAACACCATTTGTTCAAATTTTTATATATGTATATATATATATATAAATTTGAATGAATGGTGTTTTTGGCCCCGGGAACATCAAAATGAAAAAGTAAATCGGTCCCGGGCCTAGGTCTTACTGTGCCACCTACGGTAATAGACTACTATAGGGAAATTTGCTAAAAGTGAATGAGATAAAAACTATAATTTTAATTCTTATAAATATTGTATTTTTATGTATGTACATATAGAATTAACTAGTTTCTACCTTAACGTTTTCAGGAAATTCTTCAGCTCAGTGCTAGTTTTGAATCTGATATCAAAAACCAGGTGAATAATATTTTTCAGGGTTTTAGCATACATACTTGATACATGCATGATACCTAAAAAGTACCTAAATAACATTTGAAATTTGTTTTTTTTACCTATAAGGTAGGTATCATATAGGCTTCTATCAGGTAACAGGTACATATTTGATATGTATTGATGATACCTAAATAGTATTTGAGATGGACATTTTCACTTATTAGATAGGTATTTAAAAGGTATCATATAGGTATTGAAACGTTAAAAATACATATCCTAAGTTTCATGGATACCTATCTGATACCTATATAATACATATTTGTGCTATATGGGATACTATATGCACAGTATTAATAACACTCATATTTATGAACCTCGTCCATTTCTGAACATACTGCCATAAATAAAAAAATACCCCCGCCGCAGCAAACCTGCAGATTAAGCGAATTTCGACTTGTCTGATTACATTTTTACTAAAATATTTCTATAAATAAGACATATTTATTCCAAATTTAAATAACATAAGATTTAACGAGTGCTTAGGTTTGCTGCTACGGGGAAGGTAAGAAGTGTTTTTTGACCATACGTCAATAGTATAAGATGAAATTAATAAATTTGTCAAATTGTATCAACATATATCCATAAAAAAGTAAACTACCTACAACAGTTTTAATTTTCTCCATAAGAATAACATGGGAATTTTAAATCGCACTATTTTTGACTTTATTATTTAATTAATACTACTTTTATATTATTAATTAATACTGTGATCATGGCCTTAGTGCCGAAATACATATTAGTTTAGTAAAAATTAATTTCAGGGTACTCTGGTTTTTATTATTTAACTTATTTATTGAAACAGTAGCCCTAAAAAGTGAAGAAATCTATCAAAATATAAATATATATATATATGAAAAATAGGGCTACTATATATAAATAAAGATTAAACACTAATAAACTTAGTACCCAAGTAAAAATTATTTATTAAAATATTTACTGACTATAGTTTCGGCTCTAAGGCCATATAGACTTTGAAAATGGCCTTAGAGCCAAAACTATAGCCAGTAAATATTTTAATAAATAATTTTTACTTGGGTACTAAGTTTATTATTGTTTAATCTTTATTTATAAATAAATAAATATATATATATATGAATTTAAACGGATGGTGTTTATGGCCTCTAGGGCCTCAAAACGAAAAATAAAATCGGTCCCGGGTCCAGGTCTTACCATGAGTACTACGGTAATAGCTTATTCTCTATGGGAAATTCGCTAATTACTTCCTTAGATTTTCTCAACAGCTATTAGATGATAGATATTTCAACAATAACAATAAGTAAACAGCTGTACTCATAAAATAAAATTTTAAGTTAAAGATAGAGAACTGGGTATAATTATTTAGAAGAACAACATTAACCCAAAAAAAGATTGGTGTAAAGCCATAAAACTGTTCTCACACCCCAGCCAATGTGGAGAGAGTAGGTACTACCATCGATGTATAATAGAGTTATTATACATCGATGGGTACTACCCGGCACCGGCAGTCTCTCAATGAGTCCAAAGAGGGCCGCTAGGAACCACATGGTTCATGGCTTGGGGGGGGGGGTGAAGGAGCCCAAACACCGGGGGACCTGGGGGTATGGAATACCCTCCAGCAAATAGGGGGGTCCGGGAAAACTAGAACTCCAAACTCGAATTTTCAGGCATTTCAGAGGTCTAATAACGTTCAAATAACTCCAAAAATCAACCCCAATTGAGGCTGTCTCTGGCCGGTCAGAATGAGGAAATAGCATCTGCCCCTACAAGCAAGGCCCCAATAGGTTTTTTCTAGTGGGGCCTTGCTACAAGATACAAGTCGTGCATGAACCAGACTACAACAAAAGAGTACCTAGAGTTTTGTGGTGAGATTTTTACATTAAAAAACTAAGTGCTTAATTTCCCAAACTTGGTAATCTTCAGACTCCGAAGGAAGCACATTTTTATCTTTCTGGCCATGTCAAAAAACCCATATAGCTTCATAATAAAGCCCTTACATAGCCCTAAAGTGACAGTGTGGTGTGCAGTAACACCTGAAAGAATCTTTGGACTTAAATTTTTTGAATACGTCAACATTTTCATGGACGTTACTGTAGGATGTTGTTTACAATACTGTATATTAAATAATGGCTTATCCAGGACAAAATGGTATAAGATTACTTTTTTTTAAATGTGATTTTTATATCTTTAGTGTAAACATTATTATAGGTCTTGTCTTAGTTATATTAGTTCTAAATTGTATAGTTCTTAAAGGTCTTGTGTTATTTATAAACTGTATACTGTACTTCTCATTGCCCCACCCTGCAGATACTGTTCGTTGTAATGAAGTTTGCCATACAATGCCCCAATTTATATGTAATAATAATCCTTATTATTTATAATAATCCTTATTATTTATAATAATCCTTATTATTTATAATAATCCTTATTATAATAATCCTTCCTATAATAATCCTTCCTACATATCTATGTGTGTATGGAAGACAGTCCAGTCAATCATACTCTATGGAAACCTTGGATTAGGATAGAGCGAAAGTGGGTTGCAATGCATGCCGTAAATGTAGTACTAAACTGAGCCGATCCTCTCATTGGCCCTTTCCAAGTCTTGATTTAAAAACTCGTTTGTGTTTGTTCTTCAATTTCTTTGTCTTCTTTTCTTTTCATACGTTAACGTTGGTGTCGAATCGACGAATCGTTGGCTGTTTTGGCTGTTTATTGTTTGTTGTGTGAATCACCATCAATAATCACCAAATTTACCAAATTCTTTAGTGTAGTACGCCACGCCTTACGCGTTCGCGATTTTTGTTGTTTCGATCGTTGTAATATTTTCACTGAGCTCTGCCAAAAACTACAAAATGATTATTGTCAGTTTAATTCTCATGCTTGTAATATTTTCAGGCGTTGATTGTGAAAGAAAGGTAAGTTTAAGCCGGGTTTCTTTTGTTTCAATGTATATTAACAGCCTAGGCCTATTTGCTGAACAAGGATTATAGGGACCTAGCTTCCATTCAATGTTTAAGTTAACTTATTGGAAAAAACAACATAGGCCTACACAAAGTTCGACGTGTCCACCTAATTAAATAAGGTAGGTAGGTCTAGGCTAGGCCTATCGACATTTGGTTCATAAAATAGGCTATTCTATCTGCTCATAAGCCAATCTTCAGAAAACAAGGCTTTGGCCTACCTTGACAGAGTAACTACAGGGTAGGTGTGCCGTCAAAAAATCCCACCCATAGGTCTACGCCTGGGTTGCCACCTTAGGTTAGGGGGATATTGGGATATGGCCCCCTCCCACCAGGATTAACATCAAGACTTAATAACGGGCATAAGGAACTAAAATCAGGACTGTCCTGACAGATTTGGGACGGGTGCCAACCCTGCCATACACCTAGGCCCTCCCTCAATTAGTCTAGGCTAGGCCTAACCTAAGTTAGCTAGGATATGGAAGGCCTAGCCTAAGTTAGCCTATGAAACTTCAGTAACAAACGAAGTTACTACGAGGCCTAGGATTCTCGTTTTTAGCCAACTAAGTTAGAGCGGCATTTCAAATTTATATTAAACTAAAAGTAAATAAGATAAGACAAGGTCAATTTTTTTAACCCTAGGAGTGGCGAGACCGATTTTCAGTATGTGCTTTGTGGAGTGGCACGCTCATTTTGGTGAATTTGTAAGGGAGTTCTTCAAAAATCTGCATAAAATTAGTAGCCTATGTAGAGATAAACTATTGTACTGTAGGCCTATATTCATTTTGTTCGTAATAGTCAGTAGAATTCAAAAATGGTAATATAAACCAATTTTAGAAAGGTAGATTTTTAGAAAAAAGTAAAAAAAAGAAAATTTATAAATTTTTCAAATTTTATTTCAAAAGAAAACACGTGTCACATGTAACGTAATTTTTTATTGCACAATTCAAAATAAGCATTTTGTTCAGAATTTATTCCTCTACATAAACTTAGACAAATCATAATATAGCCTACACAAAATAATTATTTTTATAGATTTAGGCCTACTAACAATAATACGGAAAAATTGGAAAACGTCAATTTCTTCAACTACACGTTGATAGATCCACAAATGCCCTCTACTAATAAATCAATATGATAAAACCATACATTTTTTTAAGCCAATAATATCATTCTATATAAGAATAACTAAATAAGATAAGTAATAGAATATTCGGTTTTCACAAAAGCAAAAATGTAAACAAAACAATTGATCAGCTGTTATAGCCCACAAAACTTCACTAACTTTTTATCCTATTTTGGATCACACATGTATAAATATTTATGCAAAATAATGCATAAATATTTCGCCTAATAAAAAATAATAAACTAAAACGAACATTACACTGTAAAATTAGGGATAAAACCCACACTTCGTCTTTGTTATCGGACAAAAACTCACGACGACGCCGCCATTTTAGGTTAGACGATGACAAGTGTTCTGTTCCTTTAGCTTTGAAAAATCAAAAGCTTCTATTTGTGTGACCAGCCTAACAACATTGAATTCTACTGTCCTTCGTCTACAAGAGCGTATATAAAACAAAGTTTTTGTACTTTTCACATTGTATATATATGTGATTTAGAAATCGATATTTTATGTTGATCCGCCACATGAACAATACGTAAAAATAGGCTATTTACAAAAATTGTTCATCAGCTGTTGGAATGTATAATGACGTTATACTTTACACAGAATAAAAGATTACTTCATGCTTGTTGCAGTGGTACCACTTGCTTTTGTCAGAGACAAAAATTACGTCTGCTATTTATTTTTGAAATGACTCATCTTTTACAATTGTGCAACAAAACATGGCGTTCGCGAGTTTGCACGTATTTTTCGTTTAAATGTAACTCGTTATAAGATCAATATATTTATGTTATAAGGTTCATTCTTATACATAATAAAATGAAACTTTGGAATCTTATCTTTCCATTGGTATAAGAGTTATGTCATTTCACCGACTTTAAATGTGCTTAACATGCAACTGGAAAAAACGTTACATAAATCGACATATTCTGTCGCCCGCCACTCCAGCGGCACATTTTGAAATCAACATTTTCTGTCGATCTGCCACTCCTAGGGTTTAAGTTATTTCCTTTAGAGGGAAATTACAAAGTCATTTGAAAACAATGTTGTTTGCTTCAAGTAATTGATTTGTATGCCTATTTAAGAAATAGGTCTAACTTAAGTTAAAACAAATACCGGTAGCCTAACTTAACATTTTTCAGATCACAGCCAAGTTGAATCCAGGCTGTGACAATCCTTCTCTGTGCAAAGATGCCATATTGGTACATGTCAAGGCCGAAGGTTTGGATGACACTCTTCACCACATTTGGGATTTCACCTGGAAACCATCACTGCTCCTGGCACTCACTGAGAAGAACACTACGCTAAACATCCAATGGTCGCCTTTCCTTGCTGGCAATGAGGATGCTGTAAAATTTGATTCGGTGCCGAAATACGTATATGGAGTTGTTCTTGACAAGGTATTATAAGCACTTATTTACAATTTAGCCTAATTTAATAGGCCTAAGTTAAGGTATAAGTTAAGTGTAGGCCTAATAGTTAAAGCTACAAGTCGACTTACTCACTTGTAGCCTAAATCAATTAAATTTACAAAGTGATAAGTTTTGTTGCATTTTTATTCCACCAGTATTCGATACTGAAAGTTAACACATTGTCTCTCCCTAATAAAAACCTATAATTTAAGTTAAGTTAAAATCTTTTGGTTTAGGCTAGGCCTATTTTTAACCATTGAGGTAGAGGAGACATAAGAGATTAGATTGTTTCAGTTACTGGGTTTTGATATTTAGGTGAGAGCCTAAGTGTGAATTCCATTTTTATTCCTTTTTACCTAAAGGCTGTCTTGTTTTTTTTTACCTTTTTACTGTGTGGGTACCCTAATGTTTTACTAAAAGTAAGTTATCACCAAATATTTTATTTCAGATGATTGAATTTAACGATGCAGATGACACAGGATATTTGAATGAGACAAACTCCGATTCTTCTTATATTTCTCTTCTGGACACAAAGAACTTCAACTGGAAACTCAGCAATCTGACAAACACCAGTGGTGAAGCTACCTTGACTGTTGTCGCAACAGATTTCAAAGACAATCTCATTAATCTTCAGAAAAATGGAACTGTACAAATCACTGTAAGTTCCTAATTAAGTTACTCTCCTATCATCAAACCCACAAATTATTTGTTTGGTATTTAAGTTACTTTACTTAAAAACTTCATTATAGCTTTGCTGGGTGCAGTTACGCAGAGAACCTATAAATAAAGTTTATCATGTAAAGCAAATCAATTATTTTCCTTTATTCTAGGGTTGGTTTTGATAAAGATTAGATAAATTTAAGGATTGGTAACACATTCTTAGTTAATTAATTCTACTAATCTTATCTCTTTAATTAGCCTAAGTTAAAAAAATAATTGATTTCTCGACAATTTAAGTTTGTGCCCGAATACTAGGAAGTCGGTGGAAAACGTTGACCGATTGTTGACATATCATTTTATCAGTCCTAAACTGTATTGAAGATATAACATTACACAGTAAGGAGTTGGTTTCTGGTCTCTTTGCAGACCAGAAAGTAGTTTTTTTACAGAAAGAGATTAGGTTGAATCAGCTGGAGTCCAGAGTCCAGTAAATTTACCAAAAATATGCCTACCTATAGGACACTTTTTCACATTTGCGTTTTATTAGTCGGCTCTGAACAAAGGGTACACACGAAAATTAGACAGGCAAAATGCACTTTCACATTAAATATAGCCTGGAAATGTTTGATTAACAACCCTACAATGTTAAATTGTGTTAAAACTTAAAATAGTGTATAGGCCTATTAAACAGTATTGTAGTTTGTATACGTGTGGGTTGTGTTGTTGCTGGTAGTGTGGCAAAAAATAAACGACTCTCCCAGAAAGGTGCTAACTTGCATGAAACCCCAGCTTGTTAAATCTTACAAGGAATACATCAGACTTGTACCATTACACCATTTTCCCATCTTTGTGGCGTATTACTAAGTATTGGCTACGAATGTTGCAGTTGTCAGCGTATGGAGCTGAGACCCACGGTGAGCCTCTGCCCCACCTGCTGCACTCTGGTAACGCCTCTCAGGTAGACCTGATCATCAATGGACTCTCCCCGCAGTACAATAGGTCTCGCTACGGACTCAGCCTCCTCGCAGTCAGCTCTGACTCTCGTAACTCCACATTGCCCTCGGTCAACCACAGGAAGACACTGGATGACGAACACGCACCCGGAGTCTTCACTGTGAGTCCCACGCCAATTAAAACCTTTCATTTTAGCGAATTTTCCATATCAATCCAAATTGGTATTCACATATTATTGGTAGCCTATTTTTTATGTTTTTGAGAACGGTCCAAACCCTGGCCTTGTTACTAAGTATCTAACGTCGACCTTTTATTAGATTGCATCATTAATTGCTAGCCCATTGACAAATCTCTTCCTTCTAGGTCTAGAATAAAAACTGATTGGAATCGAAGTAGCGACCTTCAGGATTATTTATTACTTAAAAAAGTACTATTATTAGGCCTACCATTTATAAATTGTTTACCTTTGTTCTTGTACGTAAAATGTTTGTCAGCCTATGCATTTTGCCAGTTTGTGGCATCTTCAGGGGTCTTAATAATCACTTATTTCACTAACATTAAGCCTATTAGTCTCACTGTATTTACACAGGCACGGTCACTAGTATCGCGGTTGGATGGATCGGAAAACACGACGACAGAAACGCAGCTTTTTCACAGCAGGTCTTGCTTCCTCCGTTTCATTTCTGGGGTGTTAAAATTTAAGTTTTTTTTTTATGAAACCAGCAAACGTGCAGACTAAGCGAATTTCCATTTATACCTTATTGGATTTACACTAAAATGTCTCCTTTAAGATATCACATTTATTCCCTACTTGAATATAATTAGTTTAACCAGTAGGCTACTTGGGTTTGCTGCCACAAGTAGAGTAAAAAAGTTTTTTTTTGTAAAATATTAATAGTCTAGGCCTATTAAGAAATGCATCTTCCAAATTTGATCAAAATATGTTTATAATCAAGCAAACTAAAAGAGTTTACTTATTCTCCATAAGAATAACCTGGGAATTTTAAATTTACAATTTTTTGGAATTTCTCCATAACGATTAGGCGCATAATAACGCTTCAATATACTAATTTATTTGTTATGTTAAGCTCTACAAAATGTTTTGGCTAAATTTTATGTGTTTTTGGTCAAAAATAGGAAAAACCAATTTTTACCCCATAAACCTCTGTTCCCATAGTCCGATCATGTTGGTTCGCAAACTCATTTGAATAAATGTAGGTTTACACGTTCATACCAAATTTAATCAAAATCGGATAATTTTTGCTCGAGTTATCATCCTAACGGACATATATATTTGAATGGATGGTGTTTTTGGCCACTAGGGACCTCAAAACAAAAAAGTTATTCGGTCCCGGGTCCAGGCCTTACCATGAGTACTACGGTAGGTAATAGCTTTTCCTAAATGGTAAATTCACTAAAATCCTAACTTACTAATGATCCAAAATTCCTTTGTTCATGGACTATCATCTGATGCTAAGTAATGTGATCGTTTATTTCACTCCCTTAATGTGTTGTAGATCGAGGAGTTGCTAACACCGGCAGTGCATGACAAGGCTGGTGGTGGTTACCTTCAGTGGCGTCCCATTGTATACTTCTCTGACAAGCGTGAGATGACCAACAGCACAGAAACAGTGCAGTATCATGTAGTCGCCCCAACATCCCCACGCTCGGCTCTCAACCATTCGCTCCTGTTCTCTGCCCTCGGACCGCAAGTTGACGACATGCTCACCATCGCTACCAATGTGACCTTCGGAGTAGCTAAGGACGGCTTCTACAACAAGAATCAATATGCTGCATGGTAAGAATGCGTTTTTTTTATTGACATAAGCTATATATTTTTGGATTAATTGTGTCAGTCAATAGGTTTTTATGAGTCGTACAAATTCCTGATTATTTTTACTGGCTTAAGTGTTATCATTTGTGTTAGCTAGTTCTCTATTGCACATCACGTTGCCAATCTTGCATCTGAAGTTAGGCTAAATGTTTGATTTTGGTCAACAGTTTCCCTTAGGCCTAAATAGTGTACCAGTACAAGGAAAACATATTAGTCCCATACAAACATATTAGTTTCATACAATACTCATAACAGAGATACTCTCCAGTTAGTCCAAGTTGAACAGAATGTCAAAACAATAATTTGGGGACCAATTTGTTTATGACAATCCAAATTAAAAAAATACCACCCAATATATGAGAATCAGACTTGAAATAAAAAACTAATAATATTAGGATGGAACGATAACTAATATGGACTCATTTAAGCTAGGGGGGAGCAAGCTAGTCTAGTGGTAGAGTGCAGAGCCTCAGTCCCTGAGGTCCAGGATTCAAATCCTGCCAATCATCAATAATAATAGATAGGCTATTATCTAGGTCTCTAGGTTCTAGGTCTAGCCCAAAGTAAGGTGTAAAATGGTTCTGGGCCAGAACCTAGCATCCTAGGATGAGAAGGTAGGGCCTAGGACATAAAAAAAGTATTGATTCATTTGGTAGGCCTACATATATCAGAAAACTACCACACAAAAGTTGTATGCTGCATAAATTAAAATCAATGAAGGAAGTCCATTAATCAGGAACAGCTAAACATTAGGCCTAGCCAATCATGAATTTCCTTAAACAATCTTAATCTAAATGTGTAACAAAACTTAAGTATAGGTCTTGCATCCCCGAGAAATTTTTTGACTGCCTTTCGTTGGAAGCACAAAAAGTTCAGGTGTTTTCATGGCTGCAATTATTACAAATGAATTATTTGTTAAGGACTATGGTTACCGGCTACGGGCAGCCCCCAGAAGAGCACTTCTCCATGTTGGTAATGTTGGTGTTGCTGATTGGTCTTGGACTTCCGGCCATAGTGATCCTCACTGGAACTGTATGCCTTGTCGTCCGCCGCCTACAACGCAACAAGGACGACTTCTTCCTAAGCCGATAACTTCATCTCCCTTTCAGTCGGTGTTACCTTGTCTTTCAGTGAGTTGCTGTTAGTATTTGACGACGTCCTAAACCGTAGAACCCAGTGTGGTGATGAGTTCATTTTCCCCTTTTTCTAATCTCAGTAATATTTTGTTATGTAACATTTTTTTTTTAGAGTTGTTCTTACTATGCAACTATTATTTTAATCTTGTAAGACTGATTGGTTGTACTTAAGGGTTTACTAGCTCATACATTTTAGTGATTAACTTGTTTAGGTTTTTGGGAGATATTTATTTACAAAGTAGGCCTATATGTAAAGAAAAAGTATGTCAAACATTTTAATGAGGTTTTAAGCAATATTTTCCAAACACTGTTAAATTTCTCATCAACATCGATTGAAATTTCTTACATAAAATATCCCTCGTTAAAAACCCGGCTCTATATTTTACAAGTGTGTTGATTATCATTATTTGTGGCTACTAAGTGAGATTAGAAGAGGCAAGGAAGATACTCATCCATGTGTTTTATATACCAAAGCTAATTCCTAAAATACTAACTTATATTTAATTTAGCTGTAAGACAAAGGTACCTCTGATGTAATAGCCCTGTAGTTACTTCTATCTGGTTGTCCTCAACATTCCTTCACTACCGTTTTACAAGACTGTACTAAGAAAGCATTTACTTTACATTCCATTATTAAACAGTTAACTGGCTCAGAAAGCTTGTTAAGTGTCTACAGTCCATTCTTTTGTTTATTGTACCATGGTTTTACTAACCAGGTATATTGCTCATTTATTTGAAGCATTGTTGACTGTTTATGATGTTCTCAATTCTCTATAGGTAGCTATTTTAACACATGCCATAAGGTATTCTGTGTTCTGTGTAGAACAAACCCACCCATGCAATAAGAGCAATTACAACTTTATAGAGAAGCTAGAGCTTATATTTTATTAGTTAACAAGCACTAAAGCACATGTAATTAGTATTAAATAAATATGATATTTTTAGTTTATAAGTTAGCGTTACAAATAAGAAGTTTTAGTTTTCCGTACCATTGAAGTAACGTTCATTGTTTTAGTTTAGGAGTGTGTTTTATCTGAGTTGCTTTTAATCAAAATAACGTATTGATATATAAAGCCTCGTTCACACGGGGCGAGTTTACACGCTACGCGCCGGCGTGTAAGAAGCTGGCGAGTTGGTAAGTGCGCTTGTATTCGTTCACATGGAGCTTGTCCACTTGCCAACTCGCCGACGTTAAGAAAGATGCCGGCAAGTCGGCGAGTGCGCTTGTAGTCGTTCACACGATGCTTTTTCCACTCGCTCAGTAGCTGGCTTGAACTAAATTCTCCGACATCTTCGAATAACATGCGCACAAGCACAAGCAACTGTTCACACTGAGCTACTTTACACGCCTACTCGCTCAAAAGCTGGCGAGTTGGCGTGTAAAGTAGCGGCAGCGTAAACTTTTACTAGCAGCTTTTGAGCGAGTACGTCATTCACACTGGGTTTTTTTACTAGCTGCGTGTAAAAAATCTGGCTTGTAGCTTGTAAACTCGCCCCGTGTGAACGGGGCTTAATATAGGCCTAGGATCATTTTAAGTGTAAAAAAATTAATATGTTCTTCAATTGCTAATAACATTCAGAATCTCGTTCTACTGATTTATGGAAATGTAATAGTTTTATTGCATTTCCATTGTTGTTTTATTAAAATATAGGCCATAATATATACTTTAATTCATATTATTCATAGTAACGTATATAAGTGGAAGAAAAAATTTTTATTTCCTAATATAAGTTATAAGAGTGTGTATTGTAATTTGTAAGTGATAGTTGCGTTAACTTTTTGATAACCGTGTTAGCCTTTGTTAGATGCGAAATTCTTTGCCATAAATTCCGTCCAATATGTTTCTTTTCAAAATTATCATCAGTTTCAAAGGATCTTTTATTTTTCCAAATTTCATTTGATGATGAATAATTCCAAGATTTTTAGTTGCAAATTAGTATTCATATTTTTATTATAATTCTGCAATTGAGACTTAAGTGTTGTGCAATAATTGAGAAATATTCCGAAGTTTATCCTTCCATTGACTGTACATTCCTTGTTGTAAATCAATATCACTGATAGATCATCGTTGTTATAACTGTCCCTTAGTTGTCACCTATGCTCAAGTCCATTATCAGTTCAAGCAGCAATTTTATAGTCTTGAGCTTGATTTGATGGTGGTTGTTATAAAAAAATGTTGGTGGTCAGTGTAGTAAGTCTTCACAAATTCCTAATAGAAAATCTTTATTGTACTGTAAATTTAGGCAAGGTTAATACTCCGTTCAGTTTTGTGTACTATAGCTGATTCAAGAGTGGAAGTTAGTAAACACCAGTTCACATTTAAATATAACGGCTTGACTTTGGTCACTCTGTGTACAAAAGCTTAACAGTATAATTGGGCCTCTAGAATATATAATTTTGATCTCGCCCTTGGTAAATAACTAGTAACCCTGTGATCTCGAGTCAATTTCCTCTACCCTCAAATAGTTATTCATTTTTATTAGCTAATGTTGTTTAAAAAATAGACTTATATTTAAAATACAACGTTATAAGTCAATTAATTCTAATGAAACTGTTATTTTTGTAAATTTTAGCCATGACAACTATTACGCTTTTAACATAGGCAATGTACACGTATCGATTTAAGTCTGAATTTATTGTTAGATAGGCTCAATAAATGAATTTACTTCAAATTCAGTGTGTTTTATTTGTTGTTATTTACATTTTGGAATACAGCAGGCTCAATAATTTGGACTGTGGGGGAGAACTCCATAAAACTGTTTGGTATTAAGGAGCAGTGTGGAGCTGCACATTGTAGGCTACTGGCTCTGTACAATATGGTTTGACGCTCGATTTGTCTACTTGTGATGCAGTAATATGAACTAGGTGGTTGCCTACTAAAATGCACTTTTTCTCAGTTTTTACATTTTTTAACTAATACTGCAGAGTTTTACACTTAATCATGTTTAACACTCATGTAAACACGGCTTACCTTGCAAATTACATATACAAGACAAGACACATATGTTAAAATTGTATCCAGCCAGCCACATTTGGGCAACAAACTTAAAAGGAAGAACTGTAGCCAATGATTAAAGTTTTAGCCTATTTTAAGGCTGTATAAATTAAATTAGTAGGTTCGATTTCCATTTCACCGACACTAGAGTATATATTTTAAGGAAAAGTGAGGTGAAAGTTTTGTTACTGGCTTAACAATTTTATCAGCTGACTAGATGAATATGTCTGTTATATAATACAGTATGCATAATTTTTTGTTTGATACTGAAAAAGACAACATGGTAGAGCTCTTACCTAGAAAGGTGACTTATGCGGTGAAGATTTCCCCAGTGTTGTCTATACAAACTGTTACTGTTACAAAATTACCCATCTATGCCACTATGCCTAATAAACCTACAAAGAATTCACCAGTAATTAAAATAACAGCGAAATATAAAAGAAAATTAAGGCCAGGCGCAGGCGACTTTTGAGTCTAGCAACAGTTGCCCAATTAATAGGGGGACTGTTGCGCAACTCCCTCCGAGCCTCTGAAGTCTAGAGACAGTAGTTTTAGTACTGTATGAGGAGTGCTCATACAGGCAACTGTTTAAGACGCAAGTCGGACATTACAGTATGAATTTCAATGAAGGGATAGTATTTTCCTTGTTATTGGAAGTTTTACGCACAAAAAAAAAAAGAGGATTAGATTGTTTGAACTGCCAAGGATACCTCCTCTAGGATGTCTCTTCTCAACTTCAGAAATTAATTGTTCAACGTCCTCAACACGCACACTCATACTTATAAATGTACTTTTCCCAAACAAACTTCACACCACAACTAATCATGTTAGCAAACACAAGTGACAGTTCCGACTGAGACTGAGCGACACTAGTCGCGGAGCTGTCTCTGACATATTGGATAACAGTGGCGCAACTGTCCCTCGACCATTTCCTTGATGTGCACACTCCATTTTTTAACAATGCTGAACATTCATTTATTACCAAATGTTGCTAGTCTCAAAGTCACCTGTGTGCACCTGGCCTTAGGAAATTTTAAATAATTAAATTAGCTTTTTAGGGCAACACACCTCTGCTTCCATGGTTTATGCCCGCCTTGTTTACATCCCTGAGAAAAACCTAATGGGTGTTGTGACTACTACCATAGACTAACCAACACAAGTAGACTTCTCATCCCATTGTCAGTTTTGAAGCACGTTTTTCGTGTCTAGTTCATGTATGTAACACATGGGCGCTAGAGTCGACGAAACTTTGTTTCTATTATTTTAGGGTTAATTTCTTCATTTGTGCTTTACTGTTTGGTTGTATAACTAGGGGACAAGTTATTGTTTATGATTAGATTGTATTATTTGGTTAAACGAGGTTTTAAATGGCTGTAATAGTGGGAAACAAATTGTAAACAAAACACGACCTCTACATAAACCGTACAGAACTAACAATAAAATTGTCTTCAGCTTCCATAAGGATGAGAAATCTACTAAGGGAGTATGTTTTATCTATGCTACTACTCTCTACCAGTTGATTTTCTTAAAATAATTAATAAGGAATCGTGCAACACAAATGGCTGTGATTGGGCATAAAATTAGTGACGGGCATGAAGGTTAATTTTTCTCTACAATTTAGTTTTTTCGTCTATAAGGTGGTCCGGATGATTGGATTTGCAACAGTTGGAGTTCTACTGTAACTGATAAAATTAATTCAAAGGAAAAAGAACGTAAAACACCAGATAAAGCTTTCAACAATTTATTCCTACTGTCTAAGAGAATACTGCTTCTACTTAAGTGAAAAAATATAATACGATACAATCAATTAACACAAATACAATGACACAGCCATCAGAATATTTTAATTGACAATATAAACTAATGTAATGCACACAAATTAATACTGAAGGGTCTCATTCTTCCTCACTATCAGACAATCGCAGACCTTCTTGTTCATTGTTGCTCTCATTGTCACTATCAGAGTCTACGTTGAGTACAGAAGAGGAAGGGTCCGGCTGACTAGTGTTGATAGATAGTTCACAGTCGCTGGAGAACAAGTCAAACAGTTGCTGGAGTGTGATACAATCATCAGCCCATTGTTCTGTTCCACTAGCCGCCACAGCAGCAACTATTCTCTCCTCTATCGTCTCCCGCACTATAAACCGATGTACTGTTGTGGGCCTGAAACACCATTGATCGTAAAATATTAATATCAACGTGGATAAAGCAGTGATCCATTTTTGTAGCAGGCGTTCGCCAGACTTATCTTTGAAAATAAGAACCTTCTGATGAGCGTTCAATCTAAGTAATAATTGTTGGCTCTAAACTATCCAACCCCCCCCAGGTCTGTTATGCATAAATAAGATCCTTTATTAAACATTACTAGATTTGAGTTCTACTGTACAATTAACCAATAATCTAGACCAGTGGTTCCCAACCAATTTCCCTCCTGTACCCTTTTGTATATCTAATATTGTAAGCCCAAGAAATCACTAATATTCCTATTTGTGATTAAAATAGGTTTAGGCTCTTTCGGTGTACCCCCGACTGGTTTCTTGCGTACCCCTGTTGGGAATCCCTGATCTATACCAACCGTACAGACAACTCTGGTTGTCTCAATTTGAGAAATAAAGCATATTTTCAAAAACTTTAGTGAGGGTTGTTAAAGCCACCTGGTTTGTCCTATCCTGTGCACTCTTCCCACAGCCTGCAGCTCATCAGCTGGGTTTAGGATGGGTTCCACCAAGAACACATGAGTCGCCTCCACCAGATTCAGGCCCTTTCCTCCAGAGCGCAACGGCAACAACAGGGCTGTCACTCCTTCTCCCTTAAACACATAACACACTGTTAACACGTTTTCTACCGCAATATTATTAAATTTTCCATTCATATGGACTAGCGACGCAAATATGTGACGGCCGGTTTCCGCCCATAATATGCGACAGTTAGTCACTCAGGATTATTGTAAAAACTTCATGTAAGCAACAGAACCACTTTGCAATATCAAGAAAAAGTAAAAAGCCTTTTTTTAGAACTCGTAATAAAATGCACATTAATCTAGACTAATTGTAATAGAGAGTTTTCTGATTTTCAAGGAATAATGTTCAACTCTTATCTTTTTAACTCCTACTAGTCAAATAACATGTGTTTCCACACTACCATCACCGCAAAACTGTGAATCAACTACTGTTACTTCTCATTGCATTTTCACACAAATAACAGCCGTAGGTGACAGCTGCTATTTAGCAGACATCAGTTGTATATAACAAACAGCCTTACAGTAGTTATACCTGTTGAAAAGATACAAAGGACTATTGACCTACCTTGAACTCTTTAATAGATTGCCGACGGCTAACTTTACTGGCTTTCATTCGCCGGAATGTGATGTTGTTTTCACGGAATGCCTCAGCCAAAAGGTCCAACATTTTTTCCCACTATAGAAAATCATCATGTTAAATTTGTTCTAGCAACATTTTAAGCAATACAAACATAAACATATTAGGTCAAGTCAAGAGTATAGGGTTAGAGCCACAGAAGGTAATGCTAAGGAAAAGTTTGGTTGTTGCTGCTAAATATACCCTCAAAATAGATGGTTCTTTTGGGAGTAAGAGAAAGTATTTTTATAAAATGGTGGCTGACACTGTGGGGTGCAAAAAGATGAATAAATAATTGTTCTATAGACCTAAGTAACCAAGAACAATCAAATAAAATAAAAAATGGTACAACACTTATGAATAATTTCTGAGGAACTTATTCAAAAAATTCACTCAAACATTCCCACTTTTCTGGAAGCAAAGCCTTTGAAACAATGGCATTTTGTTAGTTCACTAATTAATATTCCAATGACAAGGAGGAACTGGATCCGGAACCAATTCTTTTCACATGGTTTGAGGAAAGCACAGTTAAAATTACAGTAATAAATCTACTTTAAGTATTTGAGTTTCAATTACTTACTCATGATTTAAAAAAGTACAATATGGTTGTTTTTAAAGATAAAGCTTTGTAACTGACAAATTTTTATGAGTTCACCAGGCTGACCTGAGAAAATTCAAGAGGTAGCCTAAGGGGATTATAGATACTAAAAAATATATCATACAGCTTAACACTAACATTTAGTTGTATTATACAACATCTTATTTAGTCTTAAAAACCCCATTTGACATTAACATCTAATAATAAGATAAACTAACATACAAGTTTTACTTACTGCTGAGAAAATAAGTATTTTAACATCTGGCTCTTGGCAGATAAGAGAGAGGGTACGGCCAACAACAGCTTCCACCTTGGTGGAATAGGAGCCCTTGACAGATGTGCTCGTAGTGGTACCACTGCTCTGGGGAGCAGGCTGACTCGTGGCACCACTGCTCTGGGGAGCAGGCTGGCTCGTAGTGGCAATACTGACAGAGGCAGTTGTGTCGGGTGAGATCTCACTCTTACTTTCACTTGTAGTTTGCCCTGAATTGTTGGCAACACTGTCAGTTTTGCTAGGGTTAGTAGTTGATTCTTTTACATTGTTGGCAGCGCTGTCCGTTTTGCTCTGTTCAGGTGAAGTTTCAGTCGCTTCTGCACTGGTCGTAATGTCTGTGTCTGTGTTGCTTTCAACATACGAGATCTCAGAGACCAAGCATGACTGACGACACTGAGGACACTGCAGGTTGATTGTTGTCGGCTTGACGATGAAAGACAGACAGTCGAGGCAAAGACAGTGACCACACTGCAGCACTGACCACTGCAACATAAGCAACATGCTATATGTTATTGAAAACTAAGTACCCTACAGGGCTTCATTAATGGGTTTTTTTTAGAAAAATAGGAATACAGATTTTCTACATTTTTGATTCCCTCTAATAATTCAGTTAATTTTTTAATGAACAGATGATCCTAAATTTAACCTTTAAAATTGTTCAGTGGACAGATAAATTAGTTAAACTTCCTCCCTAATAAGTAATTGTAACTTTTTTCATGTTGTGTAGTCTATATCCTAATTTGGAATCAGGATTGCAACTAGAATCTAAAGATGTGCGAGTGTGAAGTATGTAAGTTGTCAAGACAAACCTTGTCTGTAAGATCGTTACGACAGACAGGACAGATGGCAGCAGGAGCTCCTTCCTTCTGCAGAGTCTCCAAGTAACACAATGTGCCAATCTTCTTCTTCAGCTGTGCTTCGTTTACAGCTTTCTCAGTCGTTAATTTTGCCAGCTCCGGCCCAACCTGACGATCATAACGAACAATTATTGATCCAAGCGATTGTGCAATTTTCATCACAATTATAGCGAGAAAGGTTGAGTATTTAATACAAAATTTACAATATTAGAGTACATATCTATACTATTATAAAAAAGAGGTGGTGTCTGTGTGTGTGTATGGGAAAAGTAAACGCGAAAACTACTGGTCGGATCGGGCTGAAATTTGGCATGATGATAGCTCACATTCCCGATTAACATATAGGCATATTTTTATCCCAAAAATCCTTTCGGGCTCCGCCCCAGTGGCTCTGGAGTTTCCCATGTTAACCTTATGAGAAATGAAATTATTGAATCTTAACAGCTGTTTCAATTAAACAAGTTGGTTCTGTTCTGTGATGTTGAATAGCATTAAAGTTACAAGGATTACCAACAGGGTGCAGCACTAGCACTATTATTTCTTTTACATTTATGACAACAGCAAAAGGTGAGTGAGCGTAGCGAACGAACTTCAACCTGGAGGCGAGTGAGCGTAGCGAACGAGCTAACCTGAAGGCAAGTGAGCGTAGCGAACGAGCTAACCTGAAGGAAAGTGAGCGCAGCGAACGAGCTCCAACCTAAAGGTGAGTGAGCGTAGCGAACGAACTTCAAAAAGAACCGAAATTTCTTAAACCATGTCCTCACTCATAACTGCTATAAGCATTTGATACTTATATGCCAACCCCGTACGAAGGACGGGTACTCTGCTAGTATGTTATAAAAATCTGAGTAATGAGATCTTAAATTTTTTTGAGATATTTACATGTCATGTTAGTTCAACAATACATTTTCCTTTTTGTTCTCCTAATCATAATCATCTTCTAGTATTTATTTTTTTCTCAAATAACACCTAACGATTATTTACCAAGTTTTTATGTACTCACCCTGTACATCTGGATGATGTGATGATTCTCCCCAGTTGTCCGTTTGTCTTCGTCTTCACCAGCGTACGGCAGCCTGAGCCGCATCTTGCACATGTTAAGTTCATCTTTGGCATCCACCAAGTCACAGATCTGTCGCCATAGCAGGTTCAAGTCTAAGAACTCCTTCTTTATCTTCTCCAACAGTGAGAGGTGCTGAGCTGCTTCCTTGGTGTACTCTGTCGGTGCTTGCTTCTGTCTTGCGTATGTTGCTAGAGCTGAAAATCAATAATGTTTCAACTTGCAAAATCCAGTCTGTTGCCACCTTAACCAGATATCTAATCACAGGAAACGATTCATACTTGGCAGAAGCATGGATTGTCCTTCACATTGATTTTCTTTCAAATTGTTTTTGTAAACTACGAGTCTAAACCAGCTAGAATAGTAGTGGATGAAGTCAAGAATACGGCATTTATTTCAGATTTGAACTAGCTAGGTTCTGTCAAGATCTTGATAAAGACCTTAACTTAGGGACAGCATTTGTGAATATTTTAGTAGGTTAAATAAAAAATTGAAATTTAAATGTTCATAGGCCTACCAACCATAAATATAAAATTACTGACAAATCTGAAATCTGTTCTGAATGAAACCTCAAGACACAAACAAACAGCTGTGCGAATCCAGAAATGTTGAGTCAAATCAGAATCCGAATCATAGCTGTACAGGTTTTCTATAACCTGGTAGATCCAAATTTTTTAATTAGTCCCAAGTTCAATCCCGGTCAAATTTAAATCTCAAATTTACAGCCGAAAATTTAGAATCCGAGTTTAAAAATCAATTCCGAGTTGAATCCAAATCTCTTTTCTTTTTTTTTTGGATGTATCCAAATTTTTATATCTGTTCTAAGTCGAAACTGGATCTAAATCTTTTGTGATGGACTACCAGTTTGTGTAGTTTAAACATAGGCCTGTTCAACTAAAGTGTTATTTCTCTACATAAACCTAAGTCCATATGACTATCATAAGTTAACAACTCACACTGTGAGGATAAGTTTACTAATAGCCAAGATAATATTCAAATGTGAAATGCGACGTAGGTCTAAAGCCTAACACTAAGTTATACTATGGCCAGGTTTCTAACATGAACCACGCAATAGCAAATCAGAGTACAAGTAGTTTTTGGTGTCAGCTGTCCAACTTTGGCCCATTACAACTTTGGCAATATCCTACGCCCACGCCTATAAATTTGAAAACCAACAAGCTAAAAACAGGCGTTAGTCTGTTTTTACTTAACTAACTTAAATTTTATTTGTGGAGAAAATATGAAAAAAATTGAAGGTGATACCGCTGATCTGGATGATTATTGTGGAAGCTTTATACTAATAAACAATTTTAATCACAATCAAAACAGAAATAGAAGTAGATCAAACTGAAACTATACGTCATATTTTCCATTAAATCAGAAGAAGTGCATCATCAGAACTATAAATTATAATAATACAGTAGGAGTAATACTTTTATTCTAAAACATAGGCCTAATAAACAACTCAGTTGAACTTATTTAATAATTTATTTAGTTACAGTAGTATGGAGTCCAATTTGTCTTGCTGATGCTGTCCCGTTGTTGTTGTCGTACTATCAAGTCACTCACGAAAACTCCAACTCCAAATTAAAGTCAATCCAATGTTCCAGTTCCAATTCCAATTTGGTTCAATCGACACTGAACAAGAAGTAGCCTAAGAAAACTCAACCATGTTCGCCATTTAATTCTCCGTTGGCTCTAAAACCGACTGACGAATTGACGATTGAATCCAAATCTGAATCTCTTGCCGGTAAACTTAAATATTGAATCTGACATGAACCCGGATCTTTTTCCGGTAAATATGAATATCGATTTCGAATCTGAATACAGTTAGAAACAGTAATTTAATCTCAAATCTGAATCGAATCCATACAAACATTCGGATTCAATTTGTTTTTCAAACTATTTGCACTGGCCTGATACAGTCAAATACTCATATCATTTATTATTATTTATGTTACAGAAAAGGGTAATAAGTCAACTTATGGTTTTTACCTTTAAGGATTCTTTCAAACGGAGATGCTTTGAATCCTCCCTTGAAGTTTATCTCAAATGTGTTGAGATTGACATCCACCAAATGTGACACTTCCTTGATGTCCAACTCTCTATACTTAGACCAATTTTCACTGCCAGGTAGATCTCTTTTGTTGATACGTTTCTTTATCACCCTTTCCTCAAATAGAAGGGCTTCATAAGCGTTTAAAGCGCTCTCGGCTTTGCATAAAACACACCTGTAAACAAATGTATATACAATTGCTGGATGCCTAACAATTACAATTATTTTAAAAATCATTGCATAATTCCATTGCAGTAATGCTTGGTTTAGATAATAGTATTGATACGCTCATTCAACCATAAATAAACACTATGGGCATTGATTTAGGCGATCTGAAGATTTAAAGAACCTAAAATGGAAATAAATTGGGTTTATTTCGCAGCTTAAAGATCTACTTGGACTACTTGGAGACTAAGATATTTTTGTCAAGTTTTTTTTGTCATTTACTTTTGCAAACACTTGATGAATTCCCATAATTTAAGACTACTGGATTTGAAACATTCTCATCTTCTTGTAAAGACACCTAGCCTATTATATGCCTTACTTTGTAAGATTTCAAATTTTTAAAATTTAAAAGATAACTTAATACTAAAGGAGTAGATCATGTTTGAATGAACAACAATGCGCTGTTTGAGAGGCTCTTTCAATTATGTTGCATTTGAATGAAAAATGTTCTTCAACTGGTTCATTTACATGTGATGTCTACTTAAGTATTTACAAGTCAATAGTGAGGTCAAGGTTACTTTATATTATTTAGGGATGGACAAGACTGCATTTTAAGTTGAAGACAAGATTCTATTTTCTCGTCATAATTCAAGACAAGATTGTAGATTTCATTTCTATTTGGAACTATTTGTCTGCGCAATTTTAGAATGGTTCATAAATAACAATAAAATACTATTAAAACAACAACTAAAGTGAAATAACTAATTATTTATTACAAAGGTAAATAAAAAAAGACTGTACAAAGTAACAAAAGCTTACAGGAACTTAAATAGTTATAAAAATCTTAAATGAGAAAAAAAATCAAATGAAAATAAGACACCTTAAATGTAAAACTGCAACTCACAACAGTCACAGTCTGTAAGAGACGAAAGAATTGTAGTACAGCACTAAAACCTCCTTTATCCGGTATTCATTTATCCGCGATTCTGGTTTATCCACAAGGGTTCTGCTTCATAAAATAAAAACGATAGGCCTACTTAAAACAAAAATGTACATACGCAAAGAATAAACTAAATAGGAACAAATTTGCAAAGGAAAAGCAACAACACAACCCCTGCATTGCGGGTATTGCATAGACTTTCTGAAGGCAATTTTTTTTATCTCGTCTTGGAAAAAGTCTTGGAGCAAAGTTAATCTTGCTCGAACAAAATAAATTATTTTTTATCCCGCAAATTTCTCCAAAATTCAAAACCCGTCCATCCATAATATAACTGTAACTAATACTTTATGTAAAGTAAGTGGTGTCGCACAGTAAAGATTTGAGAATAGTCCACAATGAGTGATTAAACAAGTACGGCCAACTCGACCTACCTAGTTCGATTCCTCACGGTAGCGGCCTGAGGCAGGTGACAGCACAGAGCCTCTGATGCCATGACGTCAATATCAGCCATGCGGAGACCCTTCATTGCGTTGCACACTTCCAGTCTCACACGATCCATATCCGCCAGCCACTTGGCTAGCTCTAGCCTCACCATGTACAGCGATTTGAGCCTGCCAAGAGCCAACATTACTGGATGTAGCCTTATTCCCTTCATGGAAAATACACTAATTTGAAACTGCAGCAAAGTTGGCAGGCCTCTGTTTTTTTTTTTTAGTTAAAATTTAAAATGTAAATATAATTTAGCTGTAAGAAAAAAGGATTCTAAGGCCGAGACCACAAATCCCTTAATTTAATCCCACCACATGGTTAATTTTTAACCAACGAGATTGGTTTTTCTGTTTTCACGTGCGACGCACGTGGAAGAGTTTGACCGTGGCCAAACTTGTCTTACAAGACTGATTTTTCGGGCTAACCAGCGAGACTGATAGAACATGCCACACTGGCAATAAAAAAGGTCTGTATCCGTGATCCGCATAACATTAATTGATGTATTTAATAGTCTCCAGAATATAAAATCCATGAATAGTTAGAATTTTAAAAGTCATAAAACTGCTTTTGTCCAGTATTTTATTTAGAATTTGACAATTAATTGTTAACCTTCACTTGCCCGTCCACACAGACATTAGGCCTATGTGTGGAACAAAGCAAAGCAAAGAGTCAACTGTACTGATATATAAGTGGCGGCACCAGGTGTTGGGAGACTTACTTGTTGGCCAGGTTGTTGGACTGGTTCTTCTGCCGTACGTCTGTATGTTGTATGGCTGCCTTGAGTCTGGTCAGAAGCTCGTCCCTGTCCATGGTCCATTCCAGCGTGTATAGCCACCACTCAGAGTAGCCTACTGTGGCTCCATCTAGGTGAGCTGCAATGTTACCTGCGTGACTGTCCACTCTAGCCTCTGTAGCTGTGATCTGCCATACAGTCACACAATTATCACATACTGACCTAAAATTCAGTTGATCTCAACCCAATAAATAATTTTTTTTTTTCTAATTTGTTATATTGTGTTACTTAAGTATTACTGGTCTACAATATTATATTTGTGCATTTACTTTTTTACCATAGAGTTTAAACCGTGGTTTTCCCCCCAAATAATGTCAACGCAGTGCTTGTCCCCCACGATCATTGCAATACTGTGTTCTCGTGCCCCGCGATCACAACAACCCATAATTGTCCCCTATGATCGTGACAACATCGTGATTGCCCAAGACACTGGTGTACATGAAATATAAACAATAAAAATATTTTTTAAACATAAATAGACTGTTAACAGCTGTCAAAATAAAACAAACCGATTTGATCAATACCACTCTTCCATTAGATTGCATTGAAACTATTAACACCTGTAAGGCATAGCTCTTAGTCCCGAAGTAAATGATGATGGGTTTTTGCTCATCTACAGGACTCGACCTTTCTAAGGGTATGTGCAAATGTTTCCTTTGATACACAAAAGCTGAGAAAAAAGGACTAGTTTTGTGCTCGCCTTTTGATGTATAGAGGAAGATTGAACTAGTGTGTTCCAACTACTCTTCTAGAATCTAAATATATAAAAGGCAAAGCCCTCACTGACTGACTCACTCACTCACTCACTCACTCATCACTAATTCTCCCACTTCCCATTTACCTAGGAGGCTGAAATTTGGTACACCGATTCTTTGGGCATTAAATAGGAAAACTGAGTAGTTTTTATTCTGATCGGGCTTTCGGGCTCCGCCCCAGTGGCTCTGGAGTTCCCCATGTTAACCGTATGATTTTTCATATTTAAAAGGAATTTCTTAACAGCTGTTTCAAACAAGTTGGTTCTGTTCTATGATGTTCAATAGCATTAAAGTTACAAGGATTACCAACAGGGTGCAGCACTATTATGTTTTTAAATTTATGACTACAGCCAATTTGCAACCAAAAGGTGAGTGAGCGTAGCGAACAAACTTCAACCTGGAAGCGAGTTAGCGTAGCGAACGAGCTAACCTGAAGGCAAGTGAGCGGAGCAAACGAGCTCCTACCTAAAGGTGATTGAGCGTAGCAAACGAACTTCAACCAGGACGTGATTGAGCCATGCGAACGAGCTCACTTGTGAAGTTAAACGGGGCAAAGCCCGCGGGTACAGCTAGTGGAAGTATATATAATAAAATTTGTATATATAAAAACTACAAATATAATAATTTACGGATTGAACTCTAAGGACATCAACAAGAAAGAGTATATAAGCCGCGGGTATTAGGCCGCATATGTACATATACATATATGTACCGTGACACATACGGTAATAGATACTTCCTTATAAGAAAATTCACTAAAAAAAACTAGGCAATGGTTTACTGAATTTATCTAAAATTGTTTGTATTTGAAGATGATCCCGTCTTGAAGACATGAAATGTACAGGGTGTCCCGGAATTCTCTGGAACCCTTTTTCATATTTGTCATATAATCACTCATATAAGCCTGGTTTTCTGTCTGTGTGTCTGTATGTGCTGTGTGTTAATATTTTGTCGTATCATAACTTATTTTAAAGATAGAACATTTTAAATGGCCGCCATTTGAGTTGGTACAGCTTATAAATTTAATACTTTGTGCAAAGATTAGACTTACTTTTTACTACTTACGTACCAAGATTCAAGTCAATCGTTCATGGAGTTCAAATGTCATGGATTCGTTTGTAAAAATCACATACAGACACGTAGACAGAAAACCAGGCTTTCTAGATCCATGTTTATAAGATTTTTAGAATTGTTTTTACTAAGGACTAGCTGTGTGCCCGTTCTACGCACGGGGATCTTATCGTAGCCAGTTGAAACCTTCTTATATTAAGAACAGCAGTTGATTTAAATATTTTCAGATATGCTGGCAAAACAATTATAGATAAACCTTCGCAAATACAGTATCTGACAGTTTCAAGCACAAGGCAAAACAAATGCTTCGCAATTAAATGTCACCCGGATCATGTTGGTCCATATGTTAAATCCAATGATTAAACTAAAAAAATGCTTTATAGATCTATGAGGCATAGCCCTAAGGTAGGCCTGAAAGTTACTTTCCACAATGGTTAAAAGTATATAGGTACTACATTAACCTCACAATTTAACACTTTATTCGGGTTGACATTTTTCATTATCAAGATGCGCTTGTCCTTTCCGTGAAATACTGAGAAATAAAGGACATTAATGCGTTACCAACAGACATACACACACAAATCCAGAACTTAATTAGGGAATTTGCTACATACCTATAAAATTAGTATTTGAAATCTTTGTTATTGTCATCAAATTTTATCATAACAATTTATATTTGCTTGGACCGAAGATGACCCGTAATGCTGACAATTTAGATTGGTAATTTATAATAAAAATTACCAAAATAGGCCACGAACTATTGATGCATAAACAACGTAAAGCGTTTAAACAATTCATGATGGTTTACTGAGTTTTACTAAAATGCGTTAGCCTATCGTTTTCTTAGCATAAACTAACATTTTGGAATCCAGATAGAAAAAGCAAAACTTATACAGTTAAATTGAATACGCCTGTAAGAAATAAGGTGCAACACCAACGATAGCTAATTTGTAAATTACAATGATGTTGTAGTACGTTCTAAGGGAAATCAGTACCAAAAACCAACGTTTACAGTTAAGAACTGTAGTACATCCGACCAACTGTATGCGTCAATCAAGTCCTGAGGATATTGATCTCTTGGTTTTGGATTTTCTCGTAAAAGGTTATTGGCAGTCAAAGTTATTTACCATTAATTGCTTCTTTTATAAGCAACTTTTAATGTAAACTTATCGGTGTCAGTTTGAAAAAAAAACCTTATACAAACAACTGTTTTGTTATTTAACAGATTACGTATTCTCTAAACAATGATTGGTATAGGCTATCCATTAACATTAGAAGGGAATGTGATAAAAATCACACAACGTTGGGTTTTTGGACGTTTGTAATTTTATTTCTTAAGTAGGTAGGCCGTGTATCTTAGGAAAAAGTACCGGCATCAAGGATCGTCGTCAAAAAGGTTGTTATGAATAATTGGCTAGGCGTACGTACCCAAGAGATGGACTATTTGCCTATTGGCTGTATGGTCCAGCGATTGCATCACACGGTGAGTAGGAACTATTGACTATATATATAGTCAATGGTAGGAAAAGAAAGAGACACATTGGAAAATCGAGTTTAGCATCATCCGTAAACCTCTGTTACAATCACCTACTGCAGTTGTGATTCTTTTACTTTACACTTTACACAACCGCCATTGAAGCGCCGTCACTGAGTGGAAATCTTGTTTCTAAGCTATTGGCGACGATCGTTATTAAATTTAAGTTTCCCACCCGTATACAACACTGATTCAAGGTCTTCTTTCTTGTTATCAAAACTCAAGAACAATTTCATACACTAAAGAATTTCTGGTTCCTGACCTGGATGATACCTAGTTATTAATTTCATTTACGGTTACACTATTACACTATATTATTGAACTTACGATTAATTTAATCCGTTATGTAAGAAAAACGTTTTTAATCTCACTTCGTTGAGATTCGCTTTCAAAATGTGATCGAAAATGGTTGCGGTATTTGTAAACAACATTTGTAAACATATCAGTGACAGCTAGAAAAAATAATCTTGATCCGAACAGCTGTTCGTTATTTCATAGATGATTATGTGATAAAAATTGGACGAAAACTTTAAAAAATCGCACAAAACTGCATTTTTGAACGTCCGTAATTTTATTTACAAAGTAGTGAGACCATATTTTAATGGCTAAAGACACTCTCACCAATCCAGTAAATACATTAAAACGACTTGGATCTTGATAGGTACTCTCGTTTTCCTGGAGAAGATTGCGTAAAATGCCATCTTGAGTGTTGCAGACAGACAGACAGACAGACAGACAGACAGACAGAAATTTAGATGAGACTTGTTTCGGCTTCCTTAATGTATAAAACGTAAAAATAACCTAAAAATTTATGATTCTGAGCAATGTACAGACAAAACTCTAATTTTATTTATATAGATACAAAATTCTAATTTAATTAACAGCTGTCAAAATAAAACAAACCGATTTGATCAATTAACACTCTTCCATTAGATTGCATTGAACTAGTGTGTTCCAACTACTCTTCTAGACTCTTCTATTCAGGTGTTGCAGTGTGTCGTTTTGTACTTATACCCTAAAGAAAATGCTTAGGCAAAGTTTCAACCTGACAGGGGATATTTGAGGAGATTACCGAGATCAAGAATATACCTTTTTTTGTAATTATAGTGATAACATGTTTAACACTCAATACTAAGACTGAAAGAATTGACTGAAACACAAGAACATAACACATAACACTAGAAGTCGGTTAGAAGTGATCCAGGAAGGATACAATCAACGATTGATTGATGTGTTGAACAAATTATAACACTGTTTGTTGATTTAGAAATTAAATATTGAAACTTTAAGGACAATAGGCAAGATACAATTCATAATGCTTATACAGCAATGTGTTCAATCCAACACAAGGCTAAGTATTAATAAAACCATTGATAAAACTAACTGAATATGCGTATCCATAGAAACATATATCTTTCATTACAATACACTTAACCCAAAGTAAAGGAAGAACAAAAATTCATACATGAAAAATAAAATTGTCAACTGTAAGCGTAAGCAATCATTCAAAAGAAGGTATACAAAAGGGGCTGAGCAAACTTCACATACACTGGACAACGTTAGCTGAAATCAGAAACCTTGACTCAGAAACAGCCTCCTGCACAATCTGGTAACCTGCTATTGATGCGAAACACCAAGCCATGCCTTGCCATGGGTAAGTTTGTATTCATTCAGCAGTATTATGTGTGTAATTGTTCCATTTATATGTGTTGATGTTATTGTAGTTTTATTTAATTTGGTGTAGAAACTTTTGAATTGATTCTTTGCTAAGTATTTTGCACTAAACTTTTTTGCTCGTAACTTTTGCTCATCAATCAATACCATTGCAAGCTCTAAGTTTTGAAGGTGCTAAATTTAATATAAGATAAGAACTTTAAACCATTGTAACAAGGTTTTTATTTGTTGGTTACTATAGGACTGCTGAAGGACAATTTAGGAGACCTAAGCTGATAGCCCTACAACCACACTATACCTCGGGCTGGTCCCAACTCTCTTGCAAGATCCCACCATTGCTGCTCTGGACGATTGTTAATATCTAACCACAAGACCTGGGAAACAAAAGATAAGTACCTCCTTGCTGTATTTTAAATCATAGTTTTTAGAATAACATTTTAGTTGTAAAACCCTGATCATAGAGCAGAACACCATGATAATCGTCGTATGACAACTGCCTCAATGTGGGTGTTGTCCCGTGTGTTGCAGAGTCGTCTTCAAGTTGCTGGGACCAGTCTCGGGCGATGACAGGCAGCCAGGCAACATTACGCGGTAGCAGTCGTTCTTCCGCACCTAATAATCGACGTATGACAACTGCCCCAATGTGGGTGTTGTCCCGTGTGTTGCAGAGACGTCTTCCAGTTGCTGGGACCAGTCTCGGGCGATGACAGGCAGCCAGGCAACATTACGCGGTAGCAGTCGTTCTTCCGCACCTAATAATCGACGTATGACAACTGCCCCAATGTGGGTGTTGTCCCGTGTGTTGCAGAGTCGTCATCAAGTTGCTGGGACCAGTCTCGGGCGATGACAGGCAGCCAGGCAACATTACGCGGTACCAGTCGTTCTTCCGCACCTAATAATCGACGTATGACAACTGCCCCAATGTGGGTGTTGTCCCGTGTGTAGCAGAGTCGTCTTCAAGTTGCTGGGACCAGTCTCGGGCGATGACAGGCAGCCAGGCAACATTGCGCGGCAGCAGTCGTTAATAGTTTTAGTTGTTTTTTTTTTAATCTGCATTATGTGGCTGTTATCCAGCCTTTACATACCTATGAAAAGAGAGTTAACGGTTTTTGTATTGTTTCAGCTCATGGCTAGAAAATGTTTACCAATAGTCCACTGCGAAGGAGATGACTGAGTGTTTAAACAGAGGAGGAACTGTAGATACGGCTTGACTCAACATAGAAGGCTACATCGGTTTTCCAAATTTGTCCTAAGATGTGGAGAAGAGATGAAGTCTGCAGCCAAGATTTGCTGGTATGCAAGAGAGCAAACCATCATTGTATCCTGGTTGATTTGTAGAACATGAGGGTCTTCATATTCCAAGCAAAGGAAAAGTTGCGGTGACAAATCCTTTTACCCAAGGTGATTGCAGTGAACAGAAAGCTAGCACCCAATCCCAAAGTAACTAATAAACCTTGACTCAACATAGAAGGCTACATCGGTTTTCCAAATTTGTCCTAAGATGTGGAGAAGAGATGAAGTCTGCAGCCAAGATTTGCTGGTATGCAAGAGAGCAAACCATCATTGTATCCTGGTTGATTTGTAGAACATGAGGGTCTTCATATTCCAAGCAAAGGAAAAGTTGCGGTGACAAATCCTTTTACCCAAGGTGATTGCAGTGAACAGAAAGCTAGCACCCAATCCCAAAGTAACTAATAAACCTTGACTCAACATAGAAGGCTACATCGGTTTTCCAAATTTGTCCTAAGATGTGGAGAAGAGATGAAGTCTGCAGCCAAGATTTGCTGGTATGCAAGAGAGCAAAACATCATTGTATCCTGGTTGATTTGTAGAACATGAGGGTCTTCATATTCCAAGCAAAGGAAAGGTTGCGGTGACAAATCCTTTTACCCAAGGTGATTGCAGTGAACAGAAAGCTAGCACCCAATCCCAAAGAGGCTGTAAAGATACAACTGCAGCTACCTAACAAGGCGACAATATTCATTGTGGATTGAACAAGATCGCTCCCCAACTGCAGCCAATCACAACAACAACTATGGATGAGGTCACAAAATGTTTCAGTTTGTAAATTGAAAGAAACCCAAATAAAATTAAACGACCAGATAAAATTATTATGAACCACTCATTTGTCATATCGATAGAATTTACTTGACACTGGATTAAGATGTACTTTTTATAAGTATACCTTTTAATACATCAATAAATTCTTGTCATTTTTTATATGGTGAAGGAAGAAATCTGATGGTAAATACCTTATGTTTATTAATTTAGGAAAACGAAATCCTCTTTGTTTATTTTACACTTTTTTGCAATTTTTTTTTAATTTAGAGCCAATAATAATAATGAATTATTAGAATAAGGAACTTGTTGTTACTTTAACTTTATGGAGCAATGTATAGTATCAGTTTAAAATTAAATACTTTGGACGGACGTATTTTTCTGGTTCGAGTGTATTTTCTAGTTCAGTAAATAGAATTCTATACTAGTAATTGGAATTCTTTTGGGGCTTTGGTACAATTAAAACACTTTTTCCCAATATCGAATGATAAATGATGGTGTGTAAATTGATATAGACTACAAAGGCAGATACATAAATTTATTTTTCATCACTCCATAACGAAAGTAACTATTTTTGATAACAGCTGACATCAATGAAAGTAGTCGTTTCCCAAGCTCTAATTTAGGGCAAGGGAAAATCGAACAGCTGATTTTTCCTTGCTAAATTTACTTTCCCTCGCTCTTGATTAGTTTTCCATTTACTCAAACATAAATAAAGACGCCCCTAAGTTAATTATCTACGCCCCCAAGTGTTTTGTTACGGTTTGATTTAATGATTTTCAGAATCAGCTGTACATATTATTTAGTAATATACTTAGGTTTCCTTAGAAGATTTTATTTTATTTTGATGTTCAAACAAATTAATTGAGACATGAAATAGTTGTAAGATTACCGAGGTCTGTTATTCTGTGTTTTGTTTATTTTTGCGTCGTGATGAAAAGTATCGTTCATAACTTGTACTGAAAGTTATTTTCCAGCACTTGCTCCATTATTCTCATCCTCGGTTTTGCCTCGTACGTGAAAATAGCTCTCACATCGGCTTCGCCTCTCACGTGAAATTGGGGTTTCCTGTGTGAGGCGAAGCCGAAAAAAACCTTAAGCGTGCACAAGAAAATGCCACTTCTAGTAATGAAATATATTATTTTATCTAGTTTTCATTTCTTTTGCCTTTTTGCTTTTTTTAAATAAAACTGTATGCTAAAATCATACATCAGACGAACAGCCAACATGCACATGAACATTATATGCTGCAGGGATAAACTAGAATGAATATAAAATGAAGTCCATTTTAAACAACTATATGATTTCTGAATATGTAATCAATATTGCCATTACAGTATTCACTTATGTCCACTGTAGGCCTACACCTTATAACAAATACTGCCACCTACCGGAGCCTCCCGTTTGCCCAAGTAGCGCAGCTCCAATGCTTTGACATCCTCTCTCAGTTTTTCATCCCTCAATGTGGGAGGTACTCCCTCATACCCACCGTCCAGCACCTCTGCTAGATTGTGCATTGCGTGAATCCTCTAGAAAACGAAAAAACAAAATAGTAAAACAAAACATATGCCAAACAGAAATCAGCAATAATTCTGTCCAACTGTCTATGTCTACACTTGACAAAGTCCCCCAGAAAACCAAATATTGTACTTCTTTTGTCTTCTGTGTGCTTTAAGGCCTGTCTGGACTTTTTATGAGGTTTACGAAAGCTTATTACCATTCTACAAGTGACAATACTAACCTGGAGCTTTTCCTTGAAAAAAAAAACGCAATACCTCAACAATGATAGTTTAAACTTTAAAGCAATTGATATTTTCACGGTCATTTTTTTGGTGTAAAGGAATTATTTTTGCCTCCTTTAATATGTTAGGAAAAAAGCCTGATACAAACGAAGAATTTGTCATATGGAGATGACATACAATTTTGCTGATGTAGGTTTTTACAGCCTTTATTATTGTTACAGGAATTTCATCATGCCCACTGGAGTGTTTATTTTTTAAAGATTGAATGATTTTTTCCACCTCCCTTTTAGTGATCGGTTTCAGCTCAAATTTTGGCTTTACAAACAAGTGGTTGATAAAATCAGCTTTCACATAAGCCGTCACATTCTGATTGTTACAATTTAAATTTAAATCTGTAGACACGTTGCTAAAACAACCATTAAACATATTTGCAATTTTACCAGGGTCTAAAATTGTTTCTGAATTTTGTTTTAAAATTGTATTTTTTAATGGTTTCTTGTCATTTTCCCCAAATTCAGAGTTGATTATATTCCAGGCGGTTTTCTGAATGTTTTAGGAATTTTCAATTTTTTTTATATCTGTGTTTAGCCTTTTCTTAGTCAGCTGAATAATATGCTATTGTTTCATCTTTAATTCTTTAGTAAGTCATGTAATTTTTTTATTTCCCTTTGTAATCAAAATTTTTGGAGCCTGATCAAAATAGAAAGACAAATTTTTAAAAAAGACATCATACTTTGTTTCTACCCAGGAATTATAGACATCGAACCAAGATATGGCTACATGTTAGTCGGGAATGTGAGCTATCATTATACCAAATTTCAACCCAATCCGACCAGTAGTTAATGCGTGATTGGACTTCAAACAAACAAACAAACACACAAACTATCACATTTATAATATTAGTACCGGTATATGATTCTTGATCTGAAAATTCTCTGGTCTATATGGCAAAATGCTGCATAGGCATAAAAACCTTGGAGTCATATTTTTGATGGAATGAACTCTTTGCATATGACTTATACTATTAGCTAAAAAATAATTTAAGTTTGTGAAAGTAAATATAGTAATTTTATTTCGATAATTGTAGATGAGAAAGGAATCAAAGGTGTAAATACTGCTTTGCAGATAGTGCACATCATTCAATGGCACTCTTACCACCCCTTGCACATTATACTTTTGTAATAAAAAATATGCTATATAAAGTGAACTCTGTCCAGCCATTAACATCCGATACAAGTACGGTAAATGAAGTAGGGTTGTAGGTTACCTGCAATGAGTCTATCTTGAGCCTCCCGCTATGTTCCTGCTCCAGATGCAGCACGGTACGATAAGCATTCACTGCATCAGCCCACTGGTTCAGTATGATGTGTAGTGCACCTAACAATTCATTGTGGTTAGAATAGGCGAGTAACACAAATAGCAAAGATGAGTGTACTCACTTTACTACCTTTCTTGTAGTAGCGAACAATGGTACTCGTTAAATTTAATGTTTCGAGAATAAATCTGACTAAGCACTCATTCAACCAATCAGGCAAATTGAGATTTATTTAATCTGCAGGTTTGCTACGGCGAAGGTATTTTAATTTGTATACCTCAATTCAAGAACACATACCCATGCCGTTCAATGTAGCTACCAGTTGTCGCAAAGCTTGTTCAGAGTCCAGCTTAGCATTAGTGACCATCTGAGCAACCAAGTCATCCATCGTCATGGTCTTCTTGAATGACACAAACTTGCCTCTCACAGCCTACAAACAATTACAACTGATCAATCAAATCTGTTTTTTCCGCATAAAAATTAGTTAAAACTGCCTCATAACATATTGTTTTCAATCATTTGTATATGAATATGACTTAATGTAATATGGTCATGACATAAGGGACACAGAACGAGAACACTATATAACATTATATTAGAAGAAAACTCTCTCTTCTTAGTTGAAAATGCTGTCAACAGTGAAATATTCTAATGTTTGTATATAAAGTTTAACGTTTTGTGTCTCTGGTGCCAGTTTGGACTCTTTCCCATTCAGGTAAGCCTGATATCCTCACAAAAAATCTTTAAACCCTAGGCCTTATATCATATCACATCCTTGATTATAACATTAATAATTTTGAAAAAAAAAACCCAATACATTTATACATTTTTAAATAGTTATTTTCCAAGGTATTGGGTCTGATGATGATTGATGAGTCCAATTGAAATCAATTACCACTAAAATCTTTTACATTTTAACTGTCTTGTTAAAACAGTAGGCCTAGTCTATAAGTGCAAATATGTTTCAACAGTTGGGACCTTTTCCGTTAATTCACTACCACTAGTTTTTAGAGCAATAGATTATTAGCAACAGAAGTGGTAGTGAATTAAACTTTGGTTAGGTTAGGTTAGTATAGAGTTCAGTATAGTGTTAGAAAAAACCTAACCTAACCTAACCACATTCCACTAGTGGTAGTGAATTAACGGAAAAGGTCCAAGTGTTGTTCTGGTAAAAAAAAAATAGCCAATATAAAAAAACATATGATAGAAATGTATTGATACTGGTAATGCAGGGTACCCACCTGAGGATGCAAACACGCCTGACGTAGTTTCAACAACGGGTTCAGAACACTACTGATGAGCTTACGGTCTAGACTCTTGAGAGGAATATTGAGATCTCCAAACCTGCAACAGATCATTGTACTAATAAACAACACTCTTTACCTTGAATTGTTAAATTTAACTGTTCACAAATGCTTCAGACCAACATTGGAATTTAAAATTTACAATTTTTTTGAATTTTCTCCTTTACCAATAATCATACAAAAACCCTTTGATATACTTAATTATGTGTTTTTTTAGCCCTTTATTTCTTTAGAGAGAAATTATGAAATTTTGTGTTTTGGGGGTCAAAATGAGAAATACCCCCGCCGCAGCAAACCTGCAAACTAAGTGAATTTCCATTTGCCTAATTGGATTTACACTAAAATTTATCCTTAAAAATTCACATTTATCACCTATTTAAATAGAATTAGTTTAACGAGTAAGTTACTTAGGTTTGCTGCAACAGGGAGGATAAAAAAGTAATATAATGGTTTAATTACCTTCAGTCTCCAGTTCAAAGTAAGTCGATTAATGCATTAATCGACTTACTTTGAACTGGAGACTGACTGAAGGTAATTAAACCATTACCCTATATTAGTTACAAACCAGTTCAGGGGCAATTCCACATCTTATGATGTCAAAACGATAAAAAAGTGTTTTTGTTGTAAAAAATTATGCGCATTATACTAAATCAATATACTAAATTATTTGTTTTTTTTAATCTCTACAAAATGGTTTGTAAAGAAATTGTGAAATTTTGTGTTTGTAGGGTCAAAAAGGTGAAAAACCTATTCTTACCCCGGGCATAAAACACCCCATAAACCCCCGTTCCCATAGTCCGTTCATGCCGGTTCGCGAACTCCTTTGAATAGATGTAGGTTTACACGTTTATACCAAATTTCATCAAAATTGGATCATTTTTGGCTTGAGTTATCGTGCTAACGGGTACATAGGCTATATAGATAAATATTAAATATATATATTTGAACGAATGGTTTTTTGGCCTCTGGGGTTCCTAATCGGTTCCAGGCTTAGGTATTACCGTGCCACCTACATTAGCTACTTCCCTATAGGGAAATTCGCTAACAAGTCAATCGTGACATTTTAGATGAGAATAACCCAAATCCTTGAAAACTATGTGTGGGGTTTTAACGAATCAAGATCAAGAATTAATACACACAAAACTTATATTGAATTCACCTGGATATTCTGTTGACAAACTGCTGAGAGCACTCTGTGTGAGTGCACTTGTAGAAGTACTTCTCTATCTTGAAGAAGTCCAGTGTGTGAGTGACAACAGTCTGTGGTGGAACACCCACTTCTGCCAACACATCCTTCATCTGCGAGCGCCACAACATCCGCGGCACCAGGCGTAACAAGGAGCGCCAGTCTTGGTGCATCAGGGCCAGGAACTCTGGATACTGTGAACCCGCCAGGAACTCCATCAATCCAACCAAATCTAGAAAGGATCAAGGAGAATGATCAAGACTTGAGAAATCGTACGAAAAAACAATAATGAAAACTTGTCTCATATACACTTCTACCTTGGAAATGAATACATATTATTAAATGCATTAATTTACTTCTTTCTCAAGGTAAACTTAGGACTTCAGTCCTTTCTTACAACCAACGAACCAACATCAAACTTTTTAAAAATTCCAGTTAAATGAATCTCTTGTCTGATTGTTACGCTATTCTACAAAAAAATTTTTTGGGAGTTAACCCCTTATCATATCTGGGAACATCACATTAACTTTTATATACCTATCTAAAATTAGTACTGTAAGTGTGAGGAAACCTTAATAAGCCGAGAAGTGTGTCGCGAATCCTAATTTAGCTAGTATAGCTTCTATTGCCATTTGAAATACATGGTTTAAGGATGCTCCATACTGCATGATGAACCTAGGATTGGGTATAGTTTGTATTGTCTACTACTTTGTATTCTCTAATCGATTGACAACTAATACCATTGACGGCCTTCTGTATCGGAGTGCCGGTGACTGCCCACTTGTTGATTGCAGAGAACAATTTGGCCATCTCGGCTGCCCTACAGCTCGACCCCTCAACCATCTGTGCCTCGTCCAGACACAGACGCCACCACTCGACAAACAGCAACGGTGATGTCGGGGCAAAGAACCGCTTGGCGTGTCGCAGCGACCGGCTCACTGGTTTAGTGTAGTTCAGCTCCTTGCTCAGCACCTGCATCATACATTTGAGCTTAAACCAGTTTACCAGAGAATTAGTGATTACCAAGCTGTTTAAAAGTGCTATGGGCTTAGTGATTATATAAATAAGCCATATTGTAATTGGCTATGACAATTTAAAAACAATGGGATTGAAAAATTATTTATCTTTTTTTTAATAAAATTTGAACATAAAAAATACTACATTGATGAAGGTGTAAAAGAGTATATCTTAACATTTGGTTTTAACCTAGTTCATTTCTATCTGTCCATCAATTATTGTCACTTTTTACTGCATGATTTCCATTGCATTAAACTTACATTTAATTGATTGTACACATAAAATAGTTTAACATGCTTGCCAACTGTCTAAAATAGATTCCTATGAGAAAACATGGGTTGTAACTGAATAGGCTCCAAATAAAGGGACTTAGAGAGGTAAATACGTGATTTAGACAAATTTTGATATTGGTCGAGATTAATAAGCTCTTATCTAAACCATTGACTGTAATTTTTATACCACATTTTAAAAATTGGCTAGTATAATATTTACATTCTCTATAGTAATTGAGTAAGAATTGGAAAATATCCAAGCCTACAAATTTAACACATAATTATAATGAACCAATAACTTATCATGAAAAAAGTAAATTTAACACAAAAATGAAACGACAGGAAAACCTAGTAGGCAACTAGGCCTTCCATAATGCCTTCAATGGTCTCTCAATGACAAATAGAGGACTTTTTCTGTTGGAATATTGTTAATACAGCGGACTTTTGTACTCAAGGGGGATACTTATTTTATGTTGGGTAAATGAGAAGCTGAAATCATCTTTTGTTTAGATTCAAGTGTATGTGTGTATTTGTCAGAGCTAAAAATCATTTAAAATTTTATAGTTTAAAGATACTAGTCACAGATATTCATTAATAGTAACTAAATAAAAACTTACCTCGTATGTAGTTACAATGATGTCGTAAGAAGCCAAGTCATGAGGCTGAATGTACCCATTAACTCTCACTCCCTCATACACAAGCACTTTCAACTTCTTCTCTTTATCCACATGTTTTTCAATCTAGACAAGTTTAATATAACTTACTATTTCTGATTAATATACACATAGGCCTACCTAAAATATGAAGAAATATTGCAGTCTGTGATCAATAAGCCTACCTACTAACACAGACTATAGACCAATTAAATGTTAAATGTGTTACTAATTAAATACAAATAGGCCTTTGAATTTTAATACAGGTAACATGTTTCTACATATATTGTGCTAAAAAGCTATAAAAAGCTGTAGGGTGGTTTAGGGCTGGCGCCCACTAGCCCAAACACGATCACTACTAGAAAAATACAACACATCGTAATGGGGCGACGCGCACTACCCTCGACTTGTCTCTGACCCGACCAGTACACCACTCAACCCCCAGTAGACCTATATCAATCAAACAGTATGCATTTGTTTTTTGTTGTTTTTTTTGTGGTTTGTGAAGTGACTTCTTTAGTAAAATTTTGCAGGTTTTTGATACTGAGAGTTTTATTATGGCTATTAAAGAAAGGTCCTGTTTATGAGATCTATCAGCAAACTTCCTTCTTCATCCCTCAGTTGGCATAATCTACTGATTATGTAGATTATGTCAACAGAGGGATGAAGAAGGAAGTTTTCGAGATCACTCTGATGTTTAATGGACGTGAGAATGCTACACATTCAGTCACTTCTTCAACATTCATCTTGACGCTGAAGTTTGGTAAACATTCGTTGCCGTGGTCGAGTCGTGCTATGGTCGCATGGTGAATGACAACGACTGGTTGGGCGTTTGTCGTGGTCGTGCTAGTGCGCGCCGGCCTTTAGTCAGGTGATGATGCATTATTAAATTAATTAGGCCTACATTAAATTTACGTTTTTTTTTTCTCCTTAGCTTCTAAGGGCAGCGTAACAAAGCTTCAAATTACTAAATTTGCCTAACTAATATTGCTTTTTAAGCTCTACAAAATGGTTTATAAAGAATTTGAGAAATCTTAGGCTAAGTTTTTAGGGCCAAAAATGGGAAAAACCTATTGTTAAAATAATATGTATAAAATCCCCTCTAAAACCCCATGTCTGATCATGCTGGTTTGTGATCTTGTTTGAATAAATGTAGGTTTACACATTTAAGATTCCATAAAAAAATCTGATGACTTTTGCTTAAGTTATCATGCTAAGGTACATCTAAAAAATTATGAATTTGAATTAAAAGATGTTTTTGGCCTCTGGGGACCTCAATACAAAAAAGTAAGTCAGTCCCGGGTCCAGGTTTAAGAGACCTACTGTAATAAGTTAACTTAAGGCCTCCTTATATGGGAATTCGCTAAAATCAAACAAGCAATCTTAAAACTTATCAGGATTAACAGTTGATGATCAAATCTTAAAATAACACTCGCAAAGTAGCAAAGCTAAACAACAAACATAGCCTACCCCACAATAAACCAATTGACTTATGCATATATAATAAAAAAAGTTGATTGAACTCTACACACCTCACTGATCCACTGTTGTGATATAGCCTCAGGAGAGATAATGACCGTCCCGCAGGAGGGGACTGGCGGGAGTGTGGTCCAGCAACGGAAACAACAATACTCGTAGTCCGCATGGTCCTTGTCATACCCCACACAATCACAGTGTTGCCACGTCTCACACTTGGGACACTCCACCACCTTGTCTGAATACACATCCATCACACAACAACACTGGAATGATGACTCTTGGAACCTCTTAGTCCGTCGCATACCCACACTGCTTTCTGCCAGTTTCTCTTCGTACCAAGCTTGCAAAACCATTTTAGTCGTACGAGCCTCCGCCTTGACAGCAGCTTGTCGCCTCCTCTTCGGCTTCGGGGCAACCCCGTTGTAGCAGTAGTTGACGATTACATCATCAATGATCGACTCCACAGTAGATTTTACCTCTTCAATTTCTGCTTTTCTTTTTCTAGTTTTACTAGGTTTTGGAACCTCTTCCGGAATGTCAAATCTGACACGTTTTAAAGAAGCAGTACCATCATCAGTTTTCAATGATTTTAAATTCAAATCAATAGATGTAGACTTTCTACCTCTTTTCTTTCTGTCTTTGATCTGCTCCTCGTTATTTTCCTTTTTAGAATGAGGATCTTCTAAATTTTTTGACATTTCTTCTAAAGAACTCTGTGGTATAGGCCTACTGCCAATAACATCATTTAGGTTTTCCGTTTGCATACTCTGACTATTAATTTCAACAGTTGATTTTTCATCATTTTCAACAATTTCCATTTCTGAAACTTCTTTTTTTATATCACGCTCTTCGTTTATACCACATGGTTTCAAACGTTCTTTGGCCTAAAAAATACAAAAAGGATTTTACTCACCTTAAACTTACAGATTTAAAAAAATATAAGTAGGCCCTAACCTAGAGTAAGTTATTACGAGTGAGCCTTTATCCGGTAATAAGGAACACAATATTGAATAACTCAATGAACATGGCGGCAGTATTAGCCCCTTATATTTGCATGAAATTGAGGTAAACTGTGTTAAGTTATATAAATTTGTGACGGATAAAAGAATCAATAATAAATGTACAATGATGTACCCTACCTTTACTTACACAATATCATGGATTATACCTTCTCAATGTAAGAAAATAGGATTAGGAATATTAAGAAAAGAAAATTAGAGAGGTGGGATGGTAACTGATTGGTCTGAGCGATGTGATGCTGTGGAAAATATTATGAAATCCCATTAGGCTACAGCACCTGAGAAGAATAAAAACATAAACAGAACCTTTTTTCTTAATTCCTTGTGTAGTGGTGAGGAGACCAAGATACTTTGGTACTATCCGGAGGCCACCCTTATACAGCGCACTGCGGCGGTTATGTTAGGTTGGGTTATCATAAATATGTTTGTAGAGCTTTCCTTGTTTCGTTATGAATTGAATGATACCAGATGAAAAGAATCTTACTAATGCCAGCCAAATCCCCTACAAGTAGGCCAAGGTCAGGTCTTTGACCGGAGCGTGCGCATCACCTGTAACTGCCTGTATCTGGGTCAGTGTCCTGCCTGAGTGATGACTCATCTGGTATCATTCGATTTATAACACAACAAGGAAAGTCCTAAAAACATATTTATGATAACCCAATCTAACATAACCGCCGCAGCGCGCTGTATACTTACTTGGCGGAGTAAATGAGCCAGCTAGCAGCGGCGATGCATTAATCTCAATCCTTGCCGACATCGCTGCCTTCTGCGAGGCAGAACTCAAAGGATAATTGTAATTGTGTCAAATTTGTACAGTAACTCAATTAAAGTATGTTCTTTCCAATTATGTAGCTATTTTTGGTCTCCGGTAAACATATCCCTCTAAAATATGTGGCCTCTGGATAATACCAAAGTACCGAGACCAATTAAATGTATCAGGATACTAACTTATTTCATAATATGTTGGTTTGTTAATTTCATTTAAGTTAAGTAAGTTAGATTACTGATGCCTCTCTAGATTAATTTTTCTTAGTATAATTTGTCAATATACCTATTAATTAAGTTAGATATTTTTAGGATAGGTCTGCATAATGTCTGTTAATCTTGAACTATGGTCATAATTTATTTTCCCATTCATAACAATGATTTTTCATTGGTGCAATGTAGTGAGCAACAATAAAGAATCTCTCCATCCCAGAAGAAGGGTCATTGTAGTGGATCACCTCTGTACAAGTAAAATTTTGCTGTGTTCTTCTTTCTAAAGAATTAGCTATATCTTATCTTATCTAGTGTACTTACGTCATCTAGTTGTCTGGGATTTGAAAGGATACAGGATATCACTTCAACAGTTTTTCCTAATCCCATTTCCTCAGCTAAAATACCTCCCTTTGGTAGCAATATAGCAGCATCTAAAAATGAATGAATCATAGGTACTCAAATAAGAAAGTGCAGGGTAGTCCTATATCCAGGGCCGCAGTACTTTTCTGACAATAAAAAATATAGTTTCCCAAAATCACCACCAGGGTCATTTAGAACAGGACTTTTTTCCACCTATTTCCTGCTGGATAGCGACACTACTTTACCGACTGCAGCCTTGGTAGTGATGCTATCTATCAGAATCACTTAGTTGGCTACTAGGCCTATGTCCAAAGCCAGTTTTATTGCAGAACATTGCCAACCAGGGTATAAGTTAACTACTATCGTTTTTACTGTAATTCAGTGTATCAGCGGCAATGTTACGCATTGGCGAGCGTTAGTTCAGCTCCTGGCGCCGTCCCGGCATCTAACGGTCAGCAGCGAACGTGTTAAGGGGGATTTTATATATTAAAGTGGGGTAGGCCTAAAAGTTAATGGGATTTTCTTGAGCAGATTAGCAAAATTGTTGTCTTGCTCTTGAAGAAACAATGTTAACAAGTTCCTATGGAAGAAACCCCAGATGCAACTCATTTAGGCTATTTCTATAGGTTAGGCCTAGCCTACTTAGCTAAAACTAAAAAAACCAAGGCCTATTAAAATGAGTATGCAATTTATATACGTTGTTAAACATTCAATGTTAGCCTTCATACATACCTGACTTGGAACTATTGCCATCCAATCTCTCATAATACGTAGGGTGGATTTCTTTCATCAACATCCAATTCACAGCTTTGACCTGATATGGTCTCAGAGTCGGCAAAAGATAAGGATGTTGAGGATCAGGTAAATCACCAGGAAATGATTCTAAACTGTGGAATTGTTTAACACAATCGTAAATTTCAATTACCCGCTGCCTGTTAGTTGTCAACATTTTCAAGAATAGGCCTAGGCTTAATATCCTTCGAGGTAGTTCACAGTAACTTAAAATTATAACTTTTGTTCAGAAAATAACAAAGATTTCATGTAGGTACCGATGGTTAAATAGACTAACTTACTGTTAATTTAGACGAAAAATACGAACATAGACTACGGACCTACATTACAGTACAGCTAATGCACCAAAATTAATCAACAATAACAAAACAACAAACAAACAGTAAACACTAAACAAACACTAAAAAACACAAACAAACATGGTTGTGTGTTGTGTTCTGTTGTGTTTGTAAAATGTAAATTTTCGTTTTCTTTTGTTTACTTCTGCTTCTGCTCCTGTGTTCTTCTCTTTCATTCGTTTGCTGTAGGCAAGCTTTGTGAGCTTACAACAACAAGTGATACAATAACAAGTGAGCTTACATGCTTATACTAAAAAAACTCAATATAAATATAAAAGTTGATTAATTACCTTAGTATGAAATTGAAGAGGTTTGTTTGGTTAGGTTAACCTAACCAACCAAACGATATATCGAATGAAATAATTGAATAAAAATATCTACCAGTATCAATATTTTCATTCGATTTTTTGACAACAGGATATGAAAGTCCAAGGCGCCTTGATGAAAGTCTATACCCAGTTGGGTAAAATGTTATCAAAATATGTCAATGAATAAGCAATAAGCAAACTATACTTTAATACAACATATTATCATTGATAAAACATACTGGTTAGTCTATGATATTATGCATGGCATTAATTGAATGGGGATGAGTGCCAGAAGTGGTGGCTCGCCTTAAAATTTGAGGATCGAAGTTCAAAACAAGATCATCATTAACATATGCCATAGATAAAACATACTATACCTAGACGCCTTATGACTTGGGCTGTCAATTTTAATGATTCTATAATAGACTAACCAACCAACACGAGTTGGCATCTCATATCACATTGTAAATTTCGAAGCTAGTTTTTCGTGTCTAGTCCATGTCCGGTGACACTGATTGCTAGTGTCAACAAAGTTTTGGTTTATATAATTTGAGGGTTAGTTTCTAGATATATTTTTTTCGTTACGGTTTGGTTATAATTAGCAGACGAGTTATCATTTATTATTAGATCGTTTTATTTATTAAACGAGGTTTTAAATTACTTAAATAACAAGAAACAAATTGTAAACAAAACAAGACAGTGCAACCACTGACTGAGCTATTTAGCTTACTATGAGTGCACCCAAGTGCACAAGACAGAAAACTAACAATTAAAACTGGCTTCAGCAGATTCAGCTGTTCGACAATTAAAGATGAGAAATCTACTAAGTGAGTAGGCCCATGTTTTATCTATGCTTATCTAACAAAAAGTCGAACTTAAATATTTCATGAGATCAGGTTTTAGATCGATTCCTGGAGTTAGTTAATAATTAACTCCCTGCTTGTGTTTTTTTTTTTACGTAGAAGATGAAGGAGACAAAAAAAACGACGAAGAATGTGGTTGCATGAAATATTCAATCCTTGCGAGAAAAAACAAGAATACATTTTATACTTTATTTTGATGAATTTTGCATGGACAAGTTTTTAACTTCTTCAGGATGTTATAATATTATAACTATGTCAATTAATAACACTATAACCAACAATAACAAACAAACAAATAACAGGCATAAACCATTAAAGTGTGTGAGCAGCTTATTCAAACAAGTGGAACTACTCCACTCCGCAGTGCTATCCTGATAATTAGACCAATTAGTATATACCAAGGCAAAATGTGGTTCGGATTCCACTATAAACTGGTAGGTCCCTTAGTTGCCATTATCTGTATGGGCTATTAATTAACAGCTGTGTCTAAAGGAATGTCAGCCTTATAGTCACTACCTAACAAGACTACAAGATCGCGCCGCTCATGCAACACTCATCTTCATTCATACATGGCTTAAAATACCTACTTTGTATGGTCGCCATTTAATAAGAAAGTATTCAAGTATTTGTCCAAAATACATCAAAATATCACACTCTAACTTACAGTTTATGATAGAACGGTGTCCGGGAATAGCTTAGCCAGCAAATACAAATAAAATACAATGTTAGTGTTATCATGGATAAAAACGTACATACTCCTCAAAGAGTATGTTTTATCTACGGTGTTATCGAATTCATTTGTACAATTGTATTTGGAGGCATTTAAATTAATCTTTTGGTGCAACGCTAAGCTTATGGCTAACGGCTAACCGGATTTCCGTGGCTGGAATCCTCAAAGTTCAAGGCTCCCAGTGCTTTCCTACTGCACCTCTTGCTGGGGCCAGCAAGGCCTGATGAATGAGGGATTCCCAGACCAAGTACGTACCCACCTGATGAGGTTTTGCTACACCCTCGTAAAACCCTGTCAATACCGTCACAGACGCTTTGTTTTATCATATAAATATAAAAGGTTGGTCTGTTATAATGAACTTTATTCGTTAACCTCCCAAGTTCTGCATTAGCGCAGCATTCTCACCATGGAAAATTCCGGTGGCCAATGTTCACTGGGCCGGGGCAAAATGTTCTTAGAAGTGTCACGGCACGTGGCTGGAATGCGCCGAGCAAATTCCTCACTGAACCAAATAACTGCACAAATAGAGTTTGCCTAACGCCCCAAAAGTGACCGCCTCATAAAAGCACCACTTTATGAACCAAATGACGAAATGCAGGCAATGCGGTATCGCCCGCAACGCTGATTGGCTGACGCCCCTCCCAGTGGCCAGAGTGGGGACGAGGACGGAAAACCCAGCTGAAGGCAGTACTCCAAATTATACTCCAAATTCTAAATTCATTTTGGTCGGTTGTCTAAATTCCGCATCACATTTTCCCTTTTCTAAAACGAAATCCATCAATCAAATAACTTAAAGTTCTAAATTATTGTAGGGGATTTTAAGATTGCCAATTTTCCTTTCTTAGTTAAAGCTGTATAGTGTTAACAATTTAATTGTAGTCGGTTGTAATTGGATTAAATACTAGTAACTAGTGTTTTAATCCAATTAGTTGGAAAGTTTAATTGTAATAAACTACATTTGTTTAAAGTTTTTAGTTTCTGCAACATCATGTTTTTTTTTTCTTTCAGCCATTAAGCCTCAGCTATTTAAAAATTTCAAGGGCGTTAAAATTTTAAAATCTCATCTTAAGAAATCTTTCCAATACATTATAATTAAAAAAACCCTGTTTCTACGATGTAAATCAAGTAATTTAACATTTTATAGGAAATTACTGACTGACTATATATAGTTAATATAGCCCAGAAATATAATGGAAAACGTGTTTATACTGAACAAATTATTGATACATCTTTTTTAAAAATTACACCAAAACCAAAACCATAACATCTTAATTTTTAGACCACTCTTCTAGATGTACAAGAGACTTTGGGGCTGCAGTTCCGTATAGGCCTATTAGGGCCTTGATTTACATAGTAGAAACAGGGGTTTTTTGTTTTTATAATAAATTTGAGTTTCTTCCCTATGGAGAATTTGCCTTATTGTACAAGTAATTCTGCAGAAGATTATTCTGTTGACAAGAGTTATATAAGTTATTTGTATTAAGCAAAGAAAAATGTTTAAATCAAAAAGCAGAGTTAAACTTTTCACTTCAGAATTCGAAATATCGACTGTTGTTGTAGTAGGACTCTGTTTGCCTGTGTAGGTGTATGTTAGCAGCCCGCAGCCTCTATAGCATCATCGGCCATCGCCGCCATCGCATTATTTTTTTTCGCTTTGGGCTTTAGCTTTTTAACTCTCCCTCGCAATCGCATTGGGCATTGGGCATGAACGCTTGATCGTTCTTCAGAAGACGGATAATCGAGTGTATCTATTTGTATATTTCTGATATTTACCCGAATTTAAGTTTTGACTACTTTCTAATTTTACTAAAATGGATGAGGACGAAGTAGTGGAATATGAAACTGTCGAAACGATTGAAAATGAAGAGGATTACCAATACCAAGATGAGTCAACTGTACCACAAGCTCAAGGTATGCGCTCAATGGCCATTGATGATGCTAGGACTTGATTTAATCAATGTCTGAAATGCTACTACAATTCGATATATTCTGTACTCAAATACCATGTCCTATAATCTTTGACAAAACTTAATATTTTTATAATCAGATTTAAATGTGAACGATTAGTATTCAAAAATTCAATCAAACTTCATTATGATTTTTTAATTAATTCAATGTCAGTATAATAATAGCCATAGCCTACATGACTCAGGCCTAGGCCTACTTCAACCTTTACACTAAAAAATTCCCCTACTGTAATTAGGCCTATCCTGCTTGTAATGGGCAACCTAAATAAGCATAATTTCTTGATCGATATTGATTGATAGACATTGTCACACTTAGTTTTGTTATTTGTGTAAACAGTCAGTAACTTGGAAACTTAGTCCTAAAGGTTAATCCAGTAGGCCTAGGCCTACCATTAAATAGGTAACATGGACCACCTGACCAATCATTGCAAGAGTAACCTACAGTGGGTAGGCTAGGCCTATCATTCAAAATTCTGTGGTTGCACTTAAGTTTATGTCCTTCATTTAATATAATACATTAACCCTTAGAGTGCCAGGCAAAAAATATAAGTAGCCTAACGCTCAAAAAATGCTGATGATTTTTCCCGAAGGTCGCGCTAAAAATGCCGAGCGCAATCTGGCGATTTTTAGGTTAAAATTTCGTAAAAATTGAATTTTCGATATTTTGACCAACGAAAATCGATGTATCGCATCTAACTTAGTAACTTTCGACTCAATGTTAATATATGGGTTAAAAGAATCCGAGTATCCATTCGGTTGTTATGACAACTGTTCGATCATTATGAAACGTCCGGTCAGCTGGACGTTGGCACTTTTGGCTCGTTCTAAAAACGTCCGGTCGGCCGGACGTCGGCACTTTTGGCTCGTTTTAAAAACGTCCGGTTCCCCGGACGTTGGCACTCAAAGGGTTAACTACCAGCTGATTATAAAATGAAACTGTTCTAGGGTTCAGTTTCTTAACTGGGCTATGCTAATATCGATTGAAATTCCAGTGTATCCAAACGAATCCCGTTTAATCCCGCTTTTGAATGATGGAAAATCCCGTTTTATCCCGCATGTTTATTTTGTTAAATCCCGAGTGTTATATTTAACATGTACCATGTTTAAATAGTTGTTTAAAAATCGCTAA